GGATATATAACATCTCGTATTCAGATGTGCACGGTTATAACACAGTACATAAGCAGAATTTGTATGTCCAACCATGTAACACCTCACGTTGTAAAAGGAGTGTGATTAACATGGGAATAAGATTGTATAATAACTTGCCCTCTCAAATAAGAAGTATTCAAGAGTTCAAGGTTTTTAAGCGTCAATTAAAGGATTACTTGTTGTGCAAAGCTTTTTATTCCCTTCAAGAATATTTTTACAAGAATTAGCTTAATAATAGAACAAAGATACTTAGGTAATTTATTTTAGATATTGCATGTAATTTATAGTTTAGCTTTTGTTGCCTTATTATACTCATCCACTGTTTTATCATATTTAAAGGATTTATTATGTTATTTTTCTATGGTTTTTTATATTATTAGTCATTTGATGTGATGTTTAATCTCATATATTTTTTTATAAAACTGACTTGTCCAATTGTACATAATGTAACAGTTATGGATGTTAAATAAATCAATCAATCAATCAACATAAAGACAGCTAGTAGATCCTATGAAAATACTGTCAAATTCCAATATTTGGAAACAACAGTGACAAATCAAAATTTTATTCATGAGTAACTTACGATCCAATTAAACCTTCTGTCTTCTTTTCTGATGTATATGAACTTACAGATTAAAATATACAAAACTATAATTTTGTCTACAGTTTTGTATGGGTGTGAAACTTGAGTTCAGACATCAGGGTAAGATTGTTAATTGGCAATGTTTGAGAACAGGGTGCTGAAGAGAATATTTGAACCAAATAGGGATGGTGTAATAGGACTCTAGAGAAAACTGCATAACAAGGAGCTTCATAACTTACTCTTGCCAATACAATTAGAATGACCAAGTGAAGGAGATGAAATAGGGCATGTAGTATGCATGTGAGAGAAAATGAGTGCATACAGGGCATTGGTAGGAAAAACAGAAGGAAAGATACCACAGGAAGGCATAGATGTAGATGGGAGGAGAATAATGAACTGGATTTTGAAGAATGGGATGGAGAGTATGGATTGGATTCATTTGGCTGAGGATAGAGACCTCTGGATGGCTGCTGGGTTCCATAAAATGCTGGAAATTTTTTTGAGTGGTTGAGCAGCTGTTGGCCTCTCAAGAAAGAGTTGCCCTATGAAATCAGTCAGTCAGTTAATTAGTTAGTTAGTTAGTTAGTTAGTTAGCAATGTAATAATTTGAATGTAGATTGCTTTGTGGATTGTACCCTAGCAATCACCAAGCAAATGGGGTGAAAGGAAATGGAGACAGATGGAACTTTTATGTTATAAATATTATTTTAAATTATGATGAAAATGTTATGATATATATGTTTAGGATGCCTGTGTGTTGTTTTTTATTAATCATCTTGCTGATCTCCTAGTGTTTTTCATGAAGTATAAATATTGACATAAATCCGGCTATCCTGAGAGGCTTTTCATGGTTTTCCTCTTCACTCCAATCAAATAATGCTTGAATTAAGCCAGTTCTTTCTTGCTTACTGAGCATAATCATATTATATCTCATTCAGGGCCAAATAAGTAGTTGGTATTGTCTCATTAAATAAACAATGAATATATTAATCAGGAAGAAATTGTTAATACTAGAACTGTTTCTTATATAGACAGTAGTGATACAAGAAAGTGAAGCATTGCCAAATAGATCCCCCCAAACTGGAATTCTATTGAAACATGCACTTTATAAGGTATGTAAAGTTAACTCTGAATGTTTTCAAGGATACCAGGGGAAGCAGAGCTGTGTTGTGTAAATATTTGGAGGAAATATTTAGTGTTTTAGTGAGGTCATGTGAAGGTAGATAACATTTCTGCTTGTATCATGCCACGTTTCTCTTTCGTAAGTTTACTTCCCAGTAAGATGTGTGACAAAAGATTAAGGCTGCGTGATCCAAACTGTGTGAGATTATGGAAAACATTCTATCAATAAACCACTTGCACACTCTATGTCATGGTGTATGGGTTAGCACTCACTCATACTTAGTATTTCTGAGGTCCTGGGTTCTGTTTTAACCTGGTCAGTGAGACTTGTATGGTCCTCCTCAGTTCCTTTGAATTCTGTGATTATACCACAAAATAGGATATGGTTGCCTTTTTCCTCCCATTTCCAGTTCCTCATTCACAATTATCCTCTTTGATGTCTGTACTGAATTCAGTGAGGCGGTTGTACCATACTTCTCACCTAACTCAATCATTGACATTCTTGAAATTTATGAATAGTTGATGTACAGTTCTTTCACATTTTATTTAACGATGCATTTCTCAAGACCTCGCATAATTTGAGACAAGTTTTCTAATAGTTTTGAAACATATATGTGCTTCTTGCCGATTTTTTTTTTAATTTGCATTATTTCAAACTTTGCATATAAAGTGACTTTTTTATTATATTTTTATATTGCACTATTTCAAAATGCAACTGCAGTCTGCTCTCATTTTTGCTCCAGTATATGATAGACACAGAAATATGATTAATATTTCATCTGATACATTGATATTCATATGAATGACAACCACTGACTTCCTCTACATATGGAATTAACCTTCAGCAGTGTGTAGTTAAGCCGTCATTTGTTCAGTGCTGTTTACAGACCAAACAGGCTTCCTCATGGATAACATAATGAATTTTCACAACAGTTGCTTGGGGGTAGATTAAAATCCTGAAGCTGTTATTGAATGTAGACCCTCATGTTTTAGCACAAAAGCTAACAGGAGACAGTTACCAGCATTAGAAAATAATTTACCCATGTTATTACATAATGTTCCATTAGTGATCGCAGAATATGGTTCATGTATATTGGTACCCCATCACATTTCAACCTTACAGCTCAGCAGTTCTTGGCCTTGTGTTCTTCCCAGAGAAGGACCTACTACATGGCTCCCATGATCACCCGACTGAATCCAATTGATTTTATCTTTGGGAACATAGGTTTTTGAAAGAAAGAAGGTCTGGGGCTTGGAAAGGAAGGATCTTTTGGACTTGTGTTCATATGTATTTTCTTCATTGGTTCTGTGTCTGTAGAACTTGGCCTTACATTTTGCCTAAGTTACACCTGATGTAATCTGAAATTAACAGATTGTCATTAAGTATGTAAAGAACCACTCATCCTCTTTCTTCTGCCCTATACTGTGCCTTCATCATTCTTTCCCTCCCTCCCATTTATTCTTCTCCCTTCTCAACTGCAAAAGGGTTTGTAGTCAATAAAAATTCAACCCTATCATACTCAACAATACTTTCTGCTTTTCCCTTTTCAGGTAGAAAGAAATGTCTCCAAATAGAATCTCCAGTGGAAACAGAACATGCTGGCCAGTATAAAAAGAGCCTTCCTGTGTATACATTGGAGGATGTAGCTGAGCATGCAACTAAAAATGACAGGATATGGGTTACATATGGTCAAGGTGTATATGACATCACAGACTTTGTAGAAGAGCATCCAGGGGGTGATAAAATACTGATGGCTGCTGGTGGGTCATTAGAACCCTTTTGGTTGCTGTATGCTGTGCACAAGAATCCACATGTATTTGCACTACTGGAACAGTTTCGAATTGGTAGGTATATGTAATATGATTTTTCAAGCTTGTGCCTCATCCTAAAAATTATCATATTTAGAAGAACATTATTGAACACAGTGTGTTAATGGTACACCAGGTTGTTGTGGGACCGTGTCCACTTGGTACTGTGGACACTACTGGCCTATTGTACCCACCCCATGTGTTAGATGATACTGACTATGCAGCAATTGGTGGGATGAAGATTGGCAGGGGAAACCAGAGTACTTGGAGAAAACCTGCCCCTGAGCCACTTTGTCCACCATAAATCCCACATGACCAGACCTGGGCTTGAACCTGGGCCAACAGTCAGTTGGACTGATCAAGTTAATTACATGGTGAAAAAAAGCCTGGAAAACACTTCATTTTACAATGCATTTTCTTAAAAAGGGAAATAGTAACACTAAAAGTTCAGCTTACACATCACTAGTGCATCCAGTTCTTGAATATGGGGCAGCATTCTGGAATCCTTACATGAAGGGACAAATGAATGTGCTAGACTGGGTGCAAAAAATAGTGGCTAAATTTGCACGTCATAGAAATGGTTCAAACTGGGAAACCTTGACACAGCGCAGAAAGATGCTCGCATATTTGCTTTCTTCAAGGTGTACTTGCGAGAACGGGCTTGGAAGGCTATATATGATAAATGACAAAGACCATTCTATCTGAGCAGTGTCAGTCATGATAGGAAAATCAGGAGCAGAAAGCAAAAGACAGATATCAAAAAATATTCCTTTGTAAATACAACCATCCAGCTCTGGAACCAACTACCTGCAGATGCTTTAGGGACTCTCTCCTGTAAGCCAAGTAATTTTAGGAAAAGGGTAAGGAAAGTGATAAGTAAGGCAATGAGAAGGTGTGGGGGAAATCATCAAAAAAATGCCGTGAAATGTGGTGAGGTGAGGTGAAGTAAGTTGTGAGGATGTGAAGGGTACATAAGTGTAGTGAAGTGGAAGGTGAAATGTAAGTGCATCAGTTCATGACATTACATATTTCATTACTGTTATTGTTTAATGTATAGTATGCATATTTTTATTAATATTAATTGATATAATTGTGGTTGTAATTGTATTTGTTGTAGTTGCAATTATATTCATTGTATGTAGTGGATCCTTTATTGTTTGTGTAGTTTTGTGTGCTGTGTGTTATTTATGTGTTGTGTCTTATTGTAGTACCACTGCCACTGGGTAAAAACCCATTTGCAGTTAAAATAAATAATACATTGCCACTGTTGTAATAAATGCGCACTTAATATCTATCATTTGCCGCACATTCCTTCTTGTGAATAGTCAGTAATGTGCATATTTTGTGTTTATGATGAGCACTTGTGAGGTATGATATTGTGTATTATGTGTTTCTTTTCAAGAATTATACCAGGTGAAAAAATCTTCATAAATTTGTGTGGCATATCTGGATTCACTTTTACCCAGAAAAACCATGTGTTGTTGTACGAAGAGGGGCATGAAACCAGATCCATTGCTGACAGGGAGTTCAATCAGAGCTTGTGCTACATCAGAAAGTCTCCCAAGACTTACTGAATTAAAACAAAAAAAAACATTGTTAATTGTCACAAATACCGGCTTTCCTGAAGCATCTCTTCCTAGAGCTATAAACATCCCAAGATTTTGTTCGTACAAAATATTGATGGTGCATCATCTTCAGACTGCAGATCCAGTTTTGAGACTTAACTTCTGTATGGCTTTTCAGATATAGTCATGATTCACCTTCTTTTTATGATGTATGAAGCTTTGTTTCATCTCATTTATTACAAAAAGCTCACAGAAGGCACAACATTGGGATACTGAAAACCCCATGATAATCTACCATGTCCCATTACAACATGATCTAACAATGGAGTATGGTGAGCTGTGTATACTAGAAGAATCACAGGCCCCATATTCCTTCATGACAGAATTCAAAAAGTAAATACATTTTTGTAACCCTTCTTTGAATAAATAATTTACAGGCAAAAGAATAACCCATATTTCCAGCAGGATAATGCAACAGCCCCCCCCCCTCCAGTAACATAGTTGGTTGAGGCACTATGCTACAAGCCAGAAGGTCATGGGATCGAATTCTGATGAGGTGGATTTTTTCAATTTGTCTAATCCATCCAGCTCTAGGGTTGACTCAGCCTCTGACAGAAATGAGTACCAGGAATATTCATGGGGGTAAAGGGTGGTCGGCGCATCAGGCTGACAGCCGATTGTCTAGAAAATGTGGGAACCTCAACATCTCATACCCCAATGAGCCTCCATGGCCTGTTACAGGGATACCTTTACTTTTACTTTAATGCAACAGCACACATCACAGAACATTCAATTCAGGCACTCTTGTTGTTGTTAGAAGCTCTTCACTAAAGGGCTTTTGTAAAACTGTCTAGATACCTACTATCAATGGACAGGAAACAGTGTAGAGAGGTAAGGGGCTCTTTACTGGCCGCTGTGCATTGAGATGGCACATATATAGTATCAATCTCTCATATAATTTTATATGCAGAAAATGTGAACAGGAGGAGGAATCCTCCTACCACATACTTCTTCAATACCCAGCTCTAGCTGGGCATAGAATGAAGAACTTTGGCCCTGCATGGTTGAAGCTGATAAGACAGTAGTAGGGCTTCAGTCAGGCAGGTTCTGGCTCTAGCATTTGTCATGATATTCATAAGGTAACAAGTGCAGTAGAAAAAATTCATACTGGGTACCTGTCTGAACTGAGTCAGATATGTCGCCACAGAACCAGCTTGCTCAGAGTTCTTAACATATACTGGCTGTGCATTGCACAACTGTTACAACAAAACACATGTGTCATACACTTGCCAGAGTGTTGTTCATTCAAAACTAATACCATTATCCCAAGTTAAAATTACTTCTATGCCTATAGTACCAGAAGGTTTAAGATTTGCTATCCCAAGGTGCTGAACATTAACATTAAAGAAACAGAACTAACCAAAGAATTAAAGCCAGCATTACCATTTTTACTGCTAATGAACTGCTGGAACTAATGAAGCAGCCTTTCTGGATTAAGTCTGCCCAATAATTAGCAGCAGATTTTCTGGATGAGTTTTCACAGCCAAGTAAAATTTTCAGTTTTCTAACTTTTCTGCATCTATGTAAGGCACAGTGTCATTCTCTGTTAACTCAGTTTTGCAAGAGGTAGTCTGACATACCTTCCATAGTCAGTAGCACTACTCTTGGCCACAGAGTTGTTGTATAACTGAAATATGACCTACAAACACAAATCAGTACAGTAAGACTTAGCAATACAGCATAGAATTATTTAATTAATATACACTTTGTTTTAGGTAATTTGAAGGAGGATGAATCTTCTGATATTCTTTCAAACATGGAAGATCCTTATGAGCTTGAACCAAGGAGACATCCAGCTTTAAAGCCAGCTTCTGTGAAGCCTTTTAATGCAGAACCTCCATTGCAGTTGTTGGTAGACAGCTTTATCACTCCTTCGTAGGTATACAAGACATGTGCATGCATGTCTGCGTAAGGTGTAGCATGAATTTTAGATGGCTATACAGGTGAATTTTAAGAAATATTTTGTGTGTCTGTGTGTGCATCCGTGCATGTGTGTTTGTGAGAGAGAGCGTATGCACATTGCAGTGGAGAATACGATATCATAGAGGCTTAACTCACTTGATCACTAATTGGAGCAGTAGAGCATTAGCTAAATTGCATTTCAGAAACTTTCAGTTTGAATCCTGACCAAGGCGTAAATTTGTTGACAGGGTTTCTTCTTGGTGATCTTTTGCAGTTTCTCTTAAAAAATTCCATGATTGTGACTGAATTATGGTAAAATAAATGTTACTTCTGATGTGGTGGAAATGACAGGACCTAATTCCAGAAGACTGGCCACGCCATAGCTCAAGCAGTTAGTTGCTGGCTTCCCACCGCGTCAGTCTGTGTTCGATCCTGGGTCTGGTCAAGTGGTATTTGTGGTTGACAAAGTGACACTGGGGCAGGTTTTCCCCGAGTACTTCAGTTTCCCCTGCCAATCTTCATTCCACCAGATTCTCCATCATCATAATCACCCGGGGCAGGTACAATAGGCCAATCAGTGGCCGACGTGCCAAGTGGACTCAACTGGACTGCACCCCCAACTAAGCAAAAAATATTCCAGAAGACTGACTTAGGCAGCATAACTGTTAATCTGGCATATAAGAATCATTTCAACTGGAGTGATGCTTGTATAGTTTTGCTAATTTGTGTATGTGTTTAGTAGGTTGACAGACATAAATAATCAGTATGTTTGTACCAGATATAAACCCATTCATCAACCAAAAACCAGGATAGTCTCATAAAATATGTCATTACTTTTTCTTCCTTAATCCCCTTTGGTTTATTCCATATATTATTTGATGTTACATAACCTCTGCATTTGGTACAGTGTTGTTAGTTAACAAGACAACTTAAAGATCTAAAGAATACCATCTTCTGGGTTGTGATGCTGTTTAGTCTGGAAGAAGTGGTAAACTTCTACCAGACCATGTGGTGGCACATTCCAAAGGAATACCCTTCACAATGCCTGCTTGAGAACCTCAACTCTTGCTTAATTAAAGTTCATTTCTTGCAGTGACCTGTTTTATGTGCGAAACCACCTGCCAGTGCCAGAAGTGGATCCTGAAACATACAGCTTGGAGATAACTGGCGTTGGTGTGAAGACCATATTTTTGTCGCTTCATGATATCAAGACTAAATTTCCAAAATACACAGTGACAGCTGCTGTGCAATGTGCTGGCAATCGCAGAAGTGAAATGAGTGAGGTAGCATAGTTGCAATATTACAACTTCCAACTGAAATTTATAGTTTTCTGAGGACTGGTTAAAAATGTTATAAGTTGCAAACCAACTAACAGTCTCAGCCTCCTGATGCTGTTAGAATTGATCCTTTGCTAGTTCAGTCTGGTTCACAACACGTGAGTCTGTTCTACAAAGTTGTGTACTCCACCCAATTTTTCATGGCCTCTCGCAGTTCAGATCACATGGAGTTTATTGCAGCCTCATCTTTTATTGGCTACTTTTTATCTATGCCTCCGTCCATTCCCAGTTATTCTCTCTTGGCATCGTTGACATCCATCAAGGAGGTGAGAGAACATATCTGGGTTTCTGTCATTTCTTGGTTGGCCTTAATTTTTTCTCAATTGGCCTTCATTTCTTCTCAGTTGGTTCTTATTTCATCCAGCAGGCATTCCATCATATGCTCCATTTCTGTAGTGTGACGATATAGCTATCCATTGTGGTATTCAGTCAATTCAGTGTGACTTCTGACACCAGTTATCACGATTTTAGTGACTACCTAAAGGATCTGGATTGGTAATTGGATTTATTGGACACTTATAACTTGTAACTGCAAGTAATTATAACACTATCGCTAATGTACACACTATACAATTCAGTATAGAACATACCAATTCTTCTTAGTTTGTCATCATTAGCCATTGCATTGGAACGGCTCCCAACAATGCATATTCCTCATCTTTCATGTGCAGCGGCTTCGTCCTCACTGGCTGGTAACTCTCAGCTGCAGCAACCGGTCAGTTGGTTAATTGCAGCTGGCACTCACAAACACATTTTTGGCTTCAAATCTCACCAAGATCGATGACCAAGATGTATGTTCTGTCCTAGATATGTATGACTGTTAGAAGTGGGACTTCCTCTTCAGTGAGTGGAGGGGTCAGTCTTTCTGTGTAAATGCTATGTTGCACCATTGTTTCAGCATGAATATATCTACTGCTCATTACAGAGCCTCAGCATGGCCCCAACAGAGAGAACCATTTCCAACAGTTCCTCTGTTGTTGTGTGAGTAACTGTTGCCACTGTCACATGTTAACTGGCCATTGCTATTTTAATAGTGTCATCACGTGTTTACTGTGTCATAACCTAGCAACAGACAATTTCTTCCAGTTGTTATGTCACAGTATGAGCCTCTTACTTCTTTCTTAGTCATCAGGCTTGTTTCCTTGGTAAAAAAATTATGATCTGTTTCTTCGTTCTCAATTCCAAGTTACATGTCCCCCACCATATCTTTCCTAATATAATTATCACAAGAATAGTAGTGTTATATCTCAGAAGTGAACTTCTAGACAGCATGCACGCTAATGATGAGCTTGGGATGGGACAACACAGGCTGACGCATATGCACGTGTGCAGTTCCATTATTCAAAATATCTAGTGGTAGTAGTGACAGATACGATTCAAGAATGTGGAACAGGTGTTCCTATTAGTGTTTCAATGGTAAGATACCACAAGAAGTAGCTAGGTGATTAATGTAAAATCATATTACAAAATGCAGAAATCATAAACTGGAAGGAATGGCTGAATTGAATTGAATTCTGTTTTGCATGTTATATTAGGAACAGGGTTAGACAGGTGTACTCCAGAGAACACATATTTTCCAAGAATCTCTGAGATTTTACTTGTACATAGTACATTGAAGTACCGGAAGATTAGTCAGGTTCTGTTTATATGTTACCTTGGAAGCAATGAAAGGCTCAAATTATATACCCAGTACTAGAGTTGCTTCTCTTACTTGGTTCAAGTTTGAAAATTTCAGTCAGTGAGGAGAATACTGTAAATCTTTCAGGTGAAACCAGTAAAAGGTCTTTCTTGGGGACCTGCAGCTATTGGAAATGCAACATGGTCTGGTGCTCGGTTGTATGATGTATTGAAAGCTGCTGGGCTTGAAGAAGACCATCCTGGTGTGGAACATGTCCAGGTAGTGTGTTTATGTGTGCGTGTGCATGCATATATGTGCGCACGTGCACTGTCCGTGTCTGTGTCTGTGTCCCTGAAGTCAAAGAAGTGTCAAAATATTACCAAAATGAAGTCATATTTACTCAGCAAATATACTGTAACTTATAAATATATTGTCGCGTATCGGGCGTATATCGCGACAAATAAATTCTCGATGTATTCGATGTAGCGAATTTTATTTCACACTCGCTCTTACAATCACCCAAATTACAGATTTACGATTACTGCTATCTGCAGTATCACAATTAGTACACTCCAAATGCCACAATACGACTGACTGGCTGACTTTACGTCTTGACTCAGCGACTGTTACAGTACAACTGACTGTGAATAGCCTTCGCTGCTCCTTATGTAACCTCGATCGGACAATACGGCCACGTAATAGGCACCCTTGTGGCCTGGCGCTGTGTTGCTATGTAACGCTAGCGGAGGTAACCGCTGTTACTACCGTAACGTCGCCGCTGTTGACTCGCGTTGCCTAGCGACCGCGATATCCCTCGGTGACGTCACCGCGGAGGGGAGTGGCGGGGCGGGAACTCGCCTATTACCGTAGTAACGCGAGCGTTACGTTACCGCCACATACCGCTGGGGAGGTAGGGGTCAACATGTCACACTGCTCCCTCCTTAAGGCTGTTCGTCCCGAATAGCCTAACGGTGCATCCCCGTTCCTTTTCCTCGGAGGCTGTTCTTGCAGTGTCTCCTGTTGTTGCGGCTACTCTTCTTATAGCGACTATTCTTCGTCCGGTACATCCGCTCCCCTCTTAAGACAAAGCTCGTCTCGAGCGGTTTCCTTTCAGCTCGCCAGAAGATCCAGTCGTGTCCCATTCATCCATCACTTTCGTTCTATGGCACATTCACTCTCTATGGGGAGGCCGGTTCTTCTACATTACCGGCTCCTTTTCTGTGCCTGCTTCTTTTTTCGTTTTGGAGGGGGTCGACCCCTCCACAGTGTCCAATCCTTGCCGTGTCGTAGGCAGACAGAAAATCCGGCTACTCGCTTGGCGATCTGCAGTCCTGCAGTTTTTCTCATGTCTGCTTCCTTCACATATCGCGGCTCTCCGCCGCCTAGGTCCTTGAATTGGTTGCTGACTCGTAGTCGCCGTTTCAGACCTTTGTCCTTTATGCCAGCGTTGCATTGAGGGTACTTCCAAGATTTATCCTCCTCTGTATTCTTCGTTCCGGTGGCGGTCACTTCTTTCCGCTGGCATCCGAAGGTTCCCTGGGGAGTTTCCTTCTTGAAGGCAATTCTCCAACGTCGTGCCACTGTCGCGCGACGGGATGTCTTCCAGCAGATGGCAGCCAACTTCATCCGGGGTTCATGATTTCCTAGGGTCCAAGATTTCCTGAAGATGTTCCTCTTGCGCCATGCCACTCTTGCAGAGCGGGACACCCTGCTGCTGACGACGGCCAATTTATTCTGGGGTCCACAGTTTTCCCGTGTCGAATTCTTTATATTTCGTCGCTTTCGGTCCCTACGCCTTTTCTTCTTCGGTTCTCCGACCGGCATTACCTCGGCGTCTTCTATGGGTACCTCTCGTAGATCTGCCGCCTCAGGTTTCCTGTTCGCTGAAGTCGGCTCTTCCTCTTCTGGACGTGCCTCCATTCCTTGGCAGGCCGTCGTCACTCCGACCGGTATCACTATGGGGACCTCTTCTTGTTGGGCCACCGCTGCTGGGGTTGCTCTCGTCTCCGCGGAAGTCTTTTCTCGCCAGGCGGCCATTTCTTCCCGCCAGGCTTTCGAGTCGGCGTTCATTCTGGCTAGGAAATCCTTATGGTCTTTCTTCCTTTCTTCCCTCTCGATCTTTCTATCGGCCTCCATCCTAGCCAGCATTTCGATTATTCGCTGCATATCTTGTTTCTTCATTTTGTAGCAGTCAAATACTCGATGCACAATAATCCAATTATTTGTCAGGCGTGTTTAAATTCATAAAAATTCTGACACCAATTTATCATGTGTTTTGAGTATGAATCTCGTTGATCACGTGTGTAAGTTCTAATCCCACTTCTGACACCAGTTGTCGCGTATCGGGCGTATATCGCGACAAATAAATTCTCGATGTATTCGATGTAGCGAATTTTATTTCACACTCGCTCTTACAATCACCCAAATTACAGATTTACGATTACTGCTATCTGCAGTATCACAATTAGTACACTCCAAATGCCACAATACAACTGACTGGCTGACTTTACGTCTTGACTCGGCGACTGTTACAGTACAACTGACTGTGAATAGCCTTCGCTGCTCCTTATGTAACCTCGATCGGACAATACGGCCACGTAATAGGCACCCTTGTGGCCTGGCGCTGTGTTGCTATGTAACGCTAGCGGAGGTAACCGCTGTTACTACCGTAACGTCGCCGCTGTTGACTCGCGTTGCCTAGCGACCGCGATATCCCTCGGTGACGTCACCGCGGAGGGGAGTGGTGGGGCGGGAACTCGCCTATTACCGTAGTAACGCGAGCGTTACGTTACCGCCACATACCGCTGGGGAGGTAGGGGTCAACATGTCACAATATTATTTATATTAACGTAATATAGATATTTGGCCATTTGAATAAAAAAAAATATTCTCATCTAATGGTATATGTTATGACATAATAAGAATGTATAAAACAAATCACATTCTCCATTTGTTAGCCATTGGTAATATAAGAACCAGTTAAAAATAAATTGGAGACGGAATAATCTACAATGTTCACTGCAGTTTTTTAGCTTGCTTACAGTCTCTTTAAAAGTATTTTTGATGGTTTGTGGTATATGTGAAAAGGTCTAATGGTTTGTGATATAATGAAAATGTCTAGGGTCATTATTAAAATGTACTTTATTATGAGTCATGGTGAGTTGTGATAGCTTAGTCAGTATAGCAACGGGTTACAGGCTGGACATCCCAGGTTTGATTCCTGGCTATGCAAGATTTTTCTCTTCTCCGCAGTATCCAGCCTCGTTCTGGGAGCAGTGCAGCTTCCTATCCAAATGGTACCGGGGGTAGTTTCCTTGGGGGTAAAGCGGCAGGTGCACGCATTAATCTGCCTACCCACTTCCATCTAGTGCCGAGGTCAAGAATGGTGGAGCTGTACCTCCACTCCCCTTATGTGTCTGAGGCATAGTGCTTAACTAATTAAGCACAGGGATCTTATGTATCATGATGGCTGAAAATCAGTATTGCTGAATTTAAAAAAAGCTGTCCAGTGGTTCAGGTTGTGATACTTGGGCACAGACAGACATGAGCAACACATATGTGCAGTAAAATGTTATGATATCATTCCACTGATTCTCAGGTTATGACATGCTAGACCAAAAAATTCCTTTTGTTTCGTTATCTCAAAATCCAGGAGACTTAATAGAAAAAGTGTGTCTGAAATATTTTTCTCTCCAATAAATATTTAGGGAGCTACATTTAAAGATGTTTACAGAAATTCACATAGGTTTTCATGTAAAGTGTTGGTTACCTTTGGCTGATATTAACCCAAACTGGAATTGCCCGACAACACTTAGTGAAAGTGTCCCACATTGAATATAAGAAATATGTGACTAGTGGTTTAGCACCGATACTAGGTCACAGACAAATGAGCAGACGTGAGCTAAGTAGAGAATGCCTAATAATGTCCCAAATAAAAGCAGGACTGCATAATCAATACTTACAACACCTCCTTTTCTTTAAATTTTTTCATCTCTTTATAGAGTACTCGTATATTAATATTATCCAGTAGCCTCTGTAACTGTGCATTCATTTATCTTTCCTCAAACTTTCTACAGTGGAATCTCAAAAAGATGATTCTTGGACTGGTTGTCTTCAAATTTTATGTAAATTGGACAGTTATTTTTAACTTTTATGAAATGAAATGATCAAAGATTTATGAAGTGATCAGAGTATGTATTTTTTAGTGTTACTTATATTAATGAGTATTGAAACCATAGACTTATTTAAAAAATATAAAAGATTTCACACCCACGTTATTCTTACCTAAAAAGTTTGCACGGTTAACATTTTGGTTTTATTTATGATAAATTAAAAAAGAAGGTAGTATTGGATGGTCTGTAATGGTATTGGGTTTCTGCATTTCATGAAGATAAATCTGTTGATTCAGAAGTTATGGGAGTGGCAAACATGTGCATTTGTGCCCCCATGCATGGATACTGTAAGCCTAGCTTTCTGGATAAATAAAGAAATTGTGTAAAAATATGTAGAATATAATTTTAGTTCTTTGTTTTTGAGATCGTGTTGTTAACTGGATGTTGGTGAGATTCTTATATTTGTCATCTGTTTACAGTTTGAGGGTCTGGACACAGATGCAGCAAATCTACCATATGGAGCATCTATACCTATAGAAAAGGCCATGAATCGAAAGGCTGAAGTGATTTTGGCTTATGAAATAAATGGAGAGCCCCTTCCAAGAGATCATGGCTACCCAATTCGGGTAATAGCTCCAGGAATAGTTGGTGCCCGTAGTGTCAAGTGGTTAGGTTAGTTGAATGCTTAAAATCTATGGAATTCAGTGGCTTTCTATTTGCATGGCGGTTAAGGCGTTCTTACTCATCTCTGTAATGCTGTGTAATTGTTGTAACTTTCATTGACTGCAGAAAGTGAATGACCTTCATTCCTCTATATATATATATATATATAGGATGTCCCTGCTTTCAGTCTGAAGCCTGACCATCCTGGCTGAGAGGATCATCATTTTCCTTAGCCCCTGTGGACAAATCATAGGATAGTACAGTTGTCATGTAAATACACTGCGACCATTATCTCCTACATCCCTTCCTACTCACCATTCACAATCATTCTGTCATTTCTCATTCATTGGTATATACCCTTTGCATCTAACCTCTTAGCTGAACTACAACACAACACTAACTACAGATAACATGAGAAGAAATGCCAGCACAATGAAGGCACAAGAAATTATAATATCAGTTGCAAGATCAACCCCCATAACAAGGAATCCTTTACATGGAGTGCCAAATCTGATTATATAACACCACAATGCCAACTGAATTGACAGAACAGACTACTAATACACATCATCTCACATGCAATGAAGAGAAACTCTGATACGCTAACGTCTGACTGTGATGACCAGACTCCAGATATCAAGTACCATCAAGTTAACATACCATGATGACAGAAAACCATGAACTTCCTGCATGTTATTTGTTATAAATATTTTAACCAAGGCAACAAGTATAACCCAACGACAAGTAATAAAGTCATATGCACAAAAAGTGCACCTTATACGTCCAGCTACATTTACATATACTTCTACACACACACACACACACACACACACACACACAAAACTTATGTTATATTTAATTAATTGTATTGCCTGCATATTTTAATTTTTTATATTTATATTTTATTAAATAGCATGATTATTCAAATCAACAGCACATCCAAAATATGAATATATGACCAAGGGCCAAAGTTAAATAGAATATAGGTGTAGCAATTCCATAAACTGATGTTTTTAGGTATTTTTCCACCTGAAGATGACCCGGTAGTCAGGGTTGAAACATGTTGTAGAAAGTAAAACACATTAGATGTTAAATAGTTTTATCGATGGTATTGTAAAGTATTTCCATTTGCAGCAAACACAACAGAACACAGAAATGAAAATATTGTATTTGGGCATCCTGTTGCATTGATATCTCCCTCAGTCACTTTCATCTTTAATTCAACTTAAAATTATTCGCAGTCTCTCCATAATTTAAGATAACGTTAAAATCACAATCAATTGCTACATGTTTCGGCCCTACTTGGCCATCTTCAGACAGTTGTTCATTTTTTGAAACCATCACACTGCACTAGATCTCAAGTAATTTTTTTGCAATGCTGTTACATTATCGTTGTTCACGCTAAAATACATTTGTTTGAGAACAAAACTCTTTTTTTCATTCCCACACTATTTTCCACTTGCGGCATCCATGTTCCTATAATCTATAATAAATATTTATTGTGAAATGCAAAGTTGTAACATTATTTTATGAATCTGCTATTTTTATATGTCTGCATGTTATTTTCTTATGTAATTTGTTTTATTGTGTACTGTGTTTGTTGTTTGATTACTTAACTTGCACATTTTCTGTTGTTGCTTCCATTGTAATTTTTATTTCTTATTGTAATTTCTGGTTTATAGATTGTATGATATTGTTGTCATGTGTTTGAGTTGTGTATGTGGATGTGATAAAGTTATGTGTTTAGTTGTTGTTTCTTTTTGTATGAGAATATTATTTTATTCTTGATGCTTAATGCTGGAGCTTGTGTTTGTGTTTTTTTCGCTGCTTCATAATCTGTTGATACTTTTATGTGCTCATATTTCGGTATGAGTTTAATTCTCAGACATGTTCTGTTAAAATTTATATTTGCATTACAGTGCAACAGTTTCTTCTTACAATTCATGTAGGTCTATATGCTGTTCGTATGACTACTATTCATAATATTGTATTTGAGCATCCTGTTGCACTGATGGGCAGAAACCAAAGATTAGCAACAAAATCACTAAAAGAAATCATATTTACTTACTTAGTATACCTTTTTGCCCAAGTTCCGCACCCCCCCCTGCCCCTTTGGTTTTGGGAAAGAAATATACAGATCATTTTAACTGCAGTTGTACGAGAAGGTGGTTTACTGTTATCTGTGCTGGTATGTAACTTTGTGTATAATGAACCTCTTTTGTTATGATATATAACAACCCTTCCAGAGCAGTTAAAGGCAATTTATTAGGGACAGTTATTTGGTAATTGTTGGCTGTCCCAGAAGCAGTTAAAGGTTATTTGTTAAGGATATTAGTATGACTTTATTGATATTTTCCCAGGGGTTGGAAGGGGCAGACATAAAACACTTTGAGGAGTTGCTGGATATGATTTCTAGCACTGATGTTTCATTTATGTATTTACTTAAAATGAGGAAGAGATGGAATGTCATCATAATTGTGCAACTGGGATGACACTTGCAGAGAATCTGAGTAGAGAAGAAAAAATCTATCTGAAATGAAATCTCATAGAAATGTGATAGTTTTGGCTACTTAGCACCAAAAACCATTTAAAAAATAGTATGCATAATGCCCCCTCCCCCACTGCTTTCAGTGTTAAAGAGGTGGTGTGGAGGAAATTATACAAGTAAATATGGAGAGTTACATTCATTAGGAACACAGGAGTTGAAATGGGATAAGGGTGTCATTGACCCAGCAAATGATTATATATTATCCTAAGGAAAAGAGAATAGGTGGGGAAGTGAGGCTAGTGTTGAAATGGATATAAAGGAAATAGATCTTGATAATGTGGACTGGATTCATCTGGCCCAGGATACAGAACAGTTTCCATTTTTTTGTGAATGCCTAGTGAAGTTTGGGTATTATAAATGCAGGAGATTTTTTATCCAGCTTAATGCCTATCAGCTTCTGAAGAAGGACTCTGTTCCCTGCAGTTAGTTAGTTGTATGTAATTTGAGAGAGTGAATAAATGTTCCTTGCAGGGAGGATTGTGGTGACTGGTGGGAATTCTTCAAACTCGCACCCTAGCAACTCCAATGCAATGTGACAGAGTGAGGAAATGTTACTTGCAGGGAGGATTGTGGTATCAGAAGAGGAGAGTACTTCACATTGGCAGCGTAATGACTACAAAGGCTTCTCCCCTAGTGTGGACTGGGACACTGTTGATTTTACAAAGTCTCCAGCAATTCAAGAACTTCCTGTCACATCAGCCATCTGCGACCCAGTTCAGGGAGACACTGTCACTCTCACACCTGAGGGCAAAATGGTTGTTAGAGGTGAATCAACATATGGTATTGTACTTCCATTTCTAGATTGGGATGCAGGCTGAGGAAAATGAATTTCATTGATTTATTCAGAACTAATCCAAGTGGGTGGCAGAACACTAATTTCAGAGAGTCAAGAGTCTCTCTTTGGAATAAGAAAGAATTGCTACAATAACTGAAAATAATCTATTATTATACCTATTTATAAAATGAGAGATAAACCTAACCGGAAGGAGCTCAGCAAAAATTCTTATGGAATGACCCACACTCCGTCTTTCCTCCCTTCTTGCACTCCTCTTACTGTACCCACTGTTCAATTCATATTGGCCATATTACCTGTTCTACACTAGCATTAGATGAGGGACGCCAGCAGGCAAGCTAGGGTAGTAGTGTGGGAGAACAAGCCCTCCCTTCCTAGTAGCTCTTACCCACACCTCACATGGGAAATCCTCAGCCAGCTCGACTGAGTAATTTGTGACCAGTCTCACTTTTGTTATCATACCGTATTTTGTATGACCTTTTCCCAGAGTTGCCATTTGTGAATTAAGTTATTGATGATCATCAGTGCAGATTTCCGTGTAATAGATCAGCTGCTGATCAGACCTTTTGTGTCTGAGGGAAATGTAGAAGGGACAATAGTATAATGGATCTGTGGTGCCACATCTGTATTTTCTGTATTTTTAGAAACTTTTGATTCTGTTAACAGTGAAGTGCTATGGGTTGAATTTAGAATGTCCAGGATGCTTATGAGGTTAAATAAAATGTAAATGCTGCAGATGTATAGTAGATACCATATTTGATACAGTTCTGATTCATATTGGGCTGAACCAAAAGAATGCTTTATTCCCACTTACTTAAATTTGCTTTTATAATACACTATCAGAAAGCCCAGAGAATGAGGAACAACTGTAATTGAATGAGCTAAATACATAATGTACATATGCATTTGACATTAATTTGTTAGATAGAAATATAACTGTGGTATGGGTAAAACTTATTTATGATGGGGAATATGAAGAAACCTAGATACTTTTATTCTTTTTCAGACAGGTTTCACTTCAGTAACATAGGTAATTATACATTATTTGGGAACGACTATAGCAAATCAAAACCTGATTCAGGAGGAAATTAAGAGGAAATTGAATTCAGATAATTCTTGCAACCATTCAGTCCAGAACCTTCTTTCTTCTCTTCTGCTGTCTAAAAACATAAAAATTAGAGTGTACAAAACTATAATTTTGCATGTGGTTTTGTATGCATGTGAAACTTGGTCTCTGACATTAAGGGAGGACACAGACTGTGAGAATGTTTGAGAACAGGGTGTTGAGGTGAATATTTGGACTGAAGAGAAATGAAGTGATGGGAGGCTGGAGAAAACTGCATAATGAGGAGCTTCATAACTTGTACTCTTCTCCAAGTATAATTAGAATGATCAAGTCAAGGCGGATGTGATGGGCAGGGCGTGTAACATGAATGATGGAGAAGAGAAATGCATATAGGATATTGGTGGGAAAACCAGAAGGAAAGAGATCACTGGGAAGACCAAGACACAGGTGGGTGGATAATATTAAAATGGATCTTAGAGAGATAGGGTGGGATGGTATTGATTGGATTGATCTGGCACAGGATAGGGACCAGTGGAGGGCTCTTTTGAACATGGTAATAAACCTTTTGGTTCCATAAAATGCTGAAAAGTTCTTGAGTACCTGCACAGTTTGCAGCTTCTCAAGAAGTGCTCAGCTCCATGAGTGAGTGAGTTAATTATACATACAAAGAACATTTCACATGAAATGTCCTGTGTGTTTATAATATGTGTCATAAATCAGAAAAAATATATGTATTTACAGTGCATTACTACTGAAATGAGAACACAAAAGAAAGATAAATATTTTAACAAGAAAAAGTCTCATTGAATATTTGTTGATTTCCATTTGTATAATTTTGCTTCACAGTTTGTTTCTTGGAATTCATTTAAGAATGAGTGTGTCTCTGAGGGTGTGACATGCTGGTTGGGAGAACAGTAAATGTGTGCATTTTGATGGGGAAACCGCTTGTAAAATGTTGCTCTGAAGACCGAGAAGGATACGGGAAGGCGATATTTAAAGGGGTTCTTAGAGAAAGTCGGTTGTGAGGTGCTTAAACCATTGGAGCGTAATGTCATGTGTAGGTAATTGTAGCAGGAAAGTGTCATGGTATGCAACGTGAAGGCCTACACATCTGCAGTGTCAAATTGAAACTGATGACAAGGTTATCTTGTATAGATGTTGGTACCAGTCAAAGCCTGAATGTTTTTAGAAACTCCAAACAAAATACACTGTGGGAGCCACACTTGTTCATTCAAGCAGAAGTCCATTTGCAAGGCAATGGCTCATTAAAACGTGTTTTCCTTAAAATAATGACAGTTCTAATACCCATGCAGTATTTGACATCACATTATGCCCATAAAATAAAGTTTCAAAGAGTTTAAGATTGTGTCCAGTGACCGGTTTTGGTTGACCTCAGTTCCATTTCCATACAGCTAGTTGTGAATTTAATTGATAGCTTTACATTGGAGTCATAGTCAGGTAAATATAGTAGTAGTTCTGCTAGGATCATACATTTGATAAACGTGACTATCAAGGGACCAGCCTGAAAAGTGATGTATATATTAAGAATTCATCTGCTGAAAATGTGATGTCTTGAGCAAGTAAATTATTTATAATCAGTCAAACAGTAAAATGTATAGATGTTAAGGGATAGTACAGGCTTCAATATCTATGGGGGAGAGTCCATAAATAGCTCAGCTGTAATGGACATAATATGTTTTCTATGTGTATTGCTAGGTAGCAGCACAGTCCAGCTTTGTGACAATCTAGGTGGCAGACACACATATGCATGTTCAGAGGATGGTTTCAGTAGTCAAAATGGTGACTGTGCTACAGAAGTGCAGTGTTTTGTTGTGTGTTTTTTGTGGGCTAAAGGACTCAGTCAAAGGGATATTCATAAATCAGTGTTTGCTGTTCATGATGAGAAGTATTTGTCGCATAAAACAGTTCACAACTGGGTTGAGAAATTCTCTCAAGGACGTTCTAAAGTCAACAGATGATACCCAGTCAGGTCACCATGTTGAGATTGCGACAGAAGCAACTGTGCAGTGAGTGGAAGCGTTCCAGGAGAATAACGATAGACAGCGTAGCAACTGCATTAGTGTATTCCCATGGCTTAGCATACAACATAATGCACGATTGTTTGAAGTTTCTGAAAATGTGTGCACTGTAGGTGCCCAGAGAACTGAAGGACTGAGAAAAACTTAATCAACTAAATGTGTCCTTGCAACATCTCTTACAGTTTGCAGATGAAGGAAAAGATATGTTTAACAGGATTTTTACTGGAGTTGAATCATGGGTGCGTCACTACCAACCCAAATCAGAGTGTGCTTCAATGCAATGGAAACATCCCATTTGACCTTCAACCAAACATTTAAGGACATGCTCCATTCTCATCCTTGTACTCTCCACTGCACCGCACTACACTAATCTGAGCTACAACAGATCCTCGTTATACAGGCTCTGCACAGTCCACACAGAAAACACAAGTCACATGATTGCTATCTTGCCAGTCCATTGGCACACTGGCTGCTGCCTAGCAATGAGATATTAACATTTGTCCTATTGTTGTATATGCATATCATTGGGTGTTTATCAAGCCGTTGCCTAGCAATGCTTTGAGCAAATCCGTTAAAATAAAGTATGAATTCCCAATTATCTGGTATTGAAGCATCCAGAATTCTCACAGAACCAGCAACAATTTCAAAGAAAATTTACAATTTTTATAAAGTTATTTCTAAGACAGAGTGGCAGCACTTTTATGTTCACCTGCCACATGATAGTTCTCCCAGCTGCCATTACCAGTGCTGCCCAGTGTTCTCATGCAGTTACTGTTATAGTCATAGTGATCCATGATTACAGTACAGGGTAGTTGAATTTGTGATTATATTGCAGTAAATCCAAAGTCTTTTACCCATCAATCTGTTATATCACATGTGAAGACTGCCACATGAAAAATTGAAAATGAATTGTTTTGACTTTTGAAACAAAATGGAAGTATGGAAAAGTCTGAAGAAAGGTGAAAATTATGTAAAAATTGGGTCTGTAAATTTTCCTCATGCAACTGGCAGATTCATATAACTGGATCATCCCATCCCCATATATGCTGAATAATGGGGAGTTTACCCTTTTATTTCTGTAGTTAATCACAGCATACTTCAATAAGTACTAAAAATTAGTCTTCCTCAGAAGTAATAAGTAATGCTTTTACCAGATTTGGCTTCTGACAGGCCAGGAAGGTGTAGTGCCATATATATATAATTTATTTTCAAGTTTAAGTGTGAATTTTCAGTGACTTTATATCTTTTTTCTTTTAATGATGCTGTCACTATCAGGACTATAATCTCGGTGATAGGATGATTAATGAATATAGAGTAGTTTGTGAAATCGGAATTGCCAGGGGAAGCCAAAGTACTCAGAGAAAACCTGCCTCGGTGCCATTTTGTCCACCACAAATCCCATATGATACGACCTGGGATCAAACCTGGGCCTCAGCAGAGGAAGCTGGTGACTAACTGCCTGAGCTATAGCATGGCCATCTTCATATCAAAACAGTTATTTTTATTTATATTTTATGCATCCTTTTGTATGTAAATGATATTAAGGTTTTAGTACCGTCACACAACACTGTTCTGATAATTGTATAATAAGAAAAGTAAAGCTATCCCTGTACCAGGCCGTGAAGGCCCATAGGGTTGTGAGACGTTAAGGGGCCCACATTATCTATACAGTCAGCTCAGAGATGGAGGTAAGGTTTCAGCCTTACGCGCCAGCCACACTTTACTCCCCAGGAAAATTATTTAATTAATTCCTGGTACTCATTTCTGTTAGAGGCTGAGTCGACCCTAGGGCCATAGTGCAGCTGGAAGGATTAGGTCAGTTGAAAAAATGCAGTGACCTAATCGGGACTTGAACCCATGACCTTCCAGCTTGTAGCATAGTGCCTCAACCAGCTACGCTACCATGTGCCCCAATTGTATAATAAAACTGTTGATATTAAGTGAAACCAAATAGGTCAGTCAGTTTATTATATTAATCACACTACATGTTTTGGTCATTTTTGACCATCATCTAGCATGTAAGAATAAAAACAGTAAATGTACAGGTCATCCAGCCATACTGGGGCTAAAGGGTGGATGGCGCATAATGCTGACCTCACTGCCATCTGTGAGTCAATTGTCTAGAAAATGTGGGAACCTCGATGTTTCAACCCTATGGGCCTCTGCAGCCTGTTGCGGGGTAGCTTTACATTTTATACATTTATGCTGAATTATATGATGAAAATAGATAATTTTTTTTAACATCATAAAATTAAAAATTGTGTATGTAATAGGGGTTGAATATACAAAGATATATTTGCAATGATAAAGAATTATTAAAGTTTATAAAATATATATGTATATATAGTCACATGTATGAGTGACTCTCAATGAGGTTTTGGATTGGATATTAGATTTATTAACAACTTTAACACATGACTCATGACTACACTTAATTATAGTGCCATCGCTAATTTCCACACTTTACAGTTCACTAGAGCACACGCTAAGTCTTTTCCAGCATACAGTGTCTTCACTGGTAGTTTCCTGGTAACGGCTATTCCTCTGCTTCTGAGCTCAAGTTCTCTGTTAATGGTGGCTCAACGGAACTCAGTTGAGTCAGAGTTAAAGTCATACTTAATTTACAACTGGTGATTTACCACCAATCAGTTTGTCTTGGTGCCAAGCCCATTGAGACTCATGGCCAGAGATATTCACTTATCCTGCCTATAACTCCTCTGCACAGACCACCATAGAAAACACTGTTTCCAGCAGTTCCTCTGTTGTTGTGTGTTGATTTGTTGCTGTGAAGACTTGTTTGTTTGCGACTGTTACCCAGCAACTGCTCAACTGCTCTGTTATATTTGCTTTTCTCGCAGTCGTTGCCTAATAATTGCTCTATGAGCTACAATATAATAAAATGTGTGTGTATATATATATATATATATTACAAGTAACCTAGTTGGTGTACACTACAGCCACCATCTAGGCTACATGTGACGGTGGTCAAAAGAGACCAAAACATGTAGTGTGATTAATATAATAAACTGATGGACTTATTTGATTTAATTTAATATAAATCATTTTATTATACAGTAATTAAAATGCTGTTGTGTGACAGTACTAAAACTTCAGTAAAACAGGATTGTATTATTATGTGGTACTGATTTATACAGAACTCATTGTGTAGTTTTTTTTTTGAGCTCTTAATTCCATATCCTATTTAAACTTTACATATAGTATTAAGCAGTAAGCATGCAATTGACACATTTAGGCTGCTACCTAGGAGTATAAACCTTCAGTGGACATTGCCATGATTTAGGCACTGGTTATAAATTTACCATTAAGATGAAAATGAATCTGCTTGCACTGTACCGAAAAACCACTTTGTCCTTGGCCTCCAAAATTTTTAAATATTCTCCTCTTATATATCTGTGTGTGTGTGTGTGTGTGTGTGTGGTGCATATATAATCTCAGTAAATAAGCTGTTGGCTATTGAAATAGAAATGGAGAAAATATTAGCTCGAGCATTACTTACTGTTTTTTTTTCAGTATCCTTATTATGATCTACAGGGGTTATATGTGCTGAAACTTGTTTAATGTTCACTATTCAGTAAACTATAGCTATCAGTCAGTATTGTATATGTGTTTTAAAATCTGCTCCATGTGCAGCGCATGGGAGCCAGCAATGGTACAGCAATGGGCTTATGGGTTGGCTGTACCAAGGAGTCAAGAGTTTGAGTTCTGGTACGGTCAAGAATTTCCTCTTCTCCGTGCCATCCAGACAGGCTCTGGAGCCCACCCAGCCTCCTATCTAATTGGCACCAGGGGCTCTTTCCCCACGTGTAAAGCGGCCTCGGCATGAAGCTGACCACACACGTCCCACTAGTGCTGAGGTCAAGAAAATGTAGATCTGTATGTCCACTCCCCTATACGCCTTCATGGCATATTGCTTAATTACTTACACACAAGGAAAACTTTACCTATACTCGTGTGCAATGCAGAAGTAGCTTTTGCCAACCCATAGTACCCAGGAGCCCAGTTCATATGGCACCAGTTTGGTAAGCTATTTCAAACGATTGTGTTGTCTAAACTTAATTTATATCCTGTGAAGGAAGTATAACATCCAGTAATTCTGAAAATATGCAGTTATCTTCAGTCTTGTTATTTCAACTGTCTAACTTCATAGTACAGAACCCTTGAGAAACTAATAACACTGGTCAACAAAGTTATTGTAGCATAAACAAAAACTAGCTTTTGAAATTAATTCTAATATACTGATTCCAAATCTAGACACAGAAATTTTGCAAACTGAATTTTGAACCAAAACAGCACTTTTTTCACTTCTGTATTTTTTTAATTTGTGTTTGTGTAAATTTTGACAGCCATAATGTGAGAAAATGTTTTATAGTTGAATATAGGTTTAATCTGATTTAAGTAATGTAATTATTTAAAACTGCATAATCAATGACATGTACAATCATATATCTTGCATACAGAGAAAAAATATGGGATAATGGAAAAACTTGCGTGTTAGAAAATTGTGACTTGTGTTTTTGTGATAAGCACATCAAATTTAGTCAGAAACATCCCATTCTCTACAAGTCATTGAAAATGTAAATCTGTTGTGTTATGTAATCATGAAAATTCTATTGCTTTTAGTCACTTCATTCAATTACATTGAATTGCTGTGTGTATCCATAACACCTTGCTTGACCATGACAGTTAAAATCAGAATTCCTTTCAGGTACATGGATGAGCTTTTGGATGTGGAAATGATGTCAGTAATATTTAAATATTAAATCTCTCTTCTGTAAAGTATAAAGTCAGTTTCTTCACTCTGTGAGTTATGTCAAAAGTTCCTCCTGTTTCCTGTTTTAATAACAGTGCAAATCTTATCCTTGCAGTAGCCAATTGCTTGTAGATCACACTCTAGTCTGGTCTTTGTATACACATTCCTTAGGAAATGCATTGCCTATCTGTTGTAACAAAACTCTTTACTTAAGCTTCTGTCTCATATTGTAGTTACTGTAGTGAATAGTATGTTATATTTGTGTATGTGCAAGTGTTTTGATTATTCCTTTGCAGATTGTATTTATTTTTACAGTACTTCAAAACCAAATTAACACATATTAACATTGTGCTGAGAAATAATGCCAGAAATCATGTTAAGAATTTCTCTTAATCAGTATCAGGAACTCAAAAAGACCTCATATTTCTTTTGTTTTCTGTTATGGTTTTCAGTTATGTATAATAGGAATAAATTAAATCATAATTCCTCATAGATATATGAATATGTTTAATTAAAATTATATAAGCAGTAACTGCTCATGTGGATGCAGAAATAATATGTAAAATTTAAGTCAGTTTTCTGTAAAACAAACTATATTATTTCCTTTAACTTGTATAAAGAGTTCTGCCTGCTTTCACCCTGGCTTCATAAACAGTGTCATAAAACATTGGCATAGTCAGCCTTTCTGTGAACCTGTTTTGTTTCAGGTTAACATGCTGTAACTGAATAAAGGACATGTTTCATTATTTGAATACCAGTCATGTAAAGTTTTATCTAGATGACCACCAAAAGTGTAAATATCAAAAGATGAAAATGCTTACTCAGTGTGTGGAACACAATTTTTTATTGCCATTATGTATTTTTGCATGATCTGCATATCAGAATGCGCATGCAGGAGATCAAGTCTGTCTACCTGCATGTTTCAACTTAACCAGTGAATGGATTGTGAAGAATTTTTCTATGAACATTATGTCTTTATAAGTCAGTCCCAAGCTTGTACCTTTTAATTTCCTAGAGTTGGTAGTAACAGTGTGTTGAGTGCATCAACTTGTGAGCTAGAAGCGGCACTAGCACCACTTTCTTGAATTCGTTGACCATAAAACCTTTCTTCGATCTCTTTGGATCAGTCAGTAACATTTGAAATAGCAAGGTGTAAAGAATACATGTAACTCTGTGTACTCTGGTACAGACTACGGTCTCTTGTAATACACAATACATAATCTGTTTCACATGAAAATAGCCATGCGAATTTATGTTGTTATTTATTATAAAATTATTTAACTGTATAGATTTAGAAGATAAACTTAATGAATGGTGCATTTATATGGGTAGCTCTCCCACTTCATATTCTTGAGATTCTAGGTTCAGACCTCAGCCTGGAGGCGAGCAATCCTGCCTGAGGCCTTTTGTGGTTGTCCTCAGTTTTTGCAGGCAAATGCAAGGCCAAATCACCTCTGATTTGGCCACACCCACTTCCACACTCTTTCCACTTATTATTCACTAATCATACTGTCTGATGCTGTATAGTCTTAGCTATGGCAGAATTGTTAAATAAATAAAAAAACAAGTAAATAATTGAGATGAACTGTATAACAAATTTTAAATACAAACCCAATTTCCAAAAGAAAATTGTCTTTATGATCACTTTATATGTCTGAGGTGGAATGTAGAATACAATAAAGTTTATATTGAGTGTTGAAGGTAAAGCAGTGGAGTGGATTCATATATCAATGTTGAAGATGAAGAAAATGCAGGTAAACAGATTGAAATGCTAGTGACAGAACTGTATAGATTTGTAAAACATTAGTTTTGAACAGTTTTGATAATGAAAATAAATGTACGTGTCTTAGGTTTCATTTCCAGGTAGGTTGCAGGTAAATTTATGGTTGGGTCAAGTTTAAACCAGTGAACCTAGCAAATGAATAGTGATATCTCTTATGTCTTGAAGGGTATGCCTGGTCAGGCGGCGGCCAGAAGATAGTGCGTGTAGATGTAACGGCAGATGGAGGGAAGGTGTGGCATGTTGCTCACTTCACTGGCCAGGACACCAAGTCCAAGACTCCCTATCACTGGGGATGGACACTGTGGAAGGCAGAGATTCCTATTCCTGCAGGAGAGAAACAGGTACAGAATACATGAATAATGTAGGAAAATAAGCGGGAATGCTGCTTATTTGGAGATTTTAAAGTTTGTACTTCCTGTGCCTTTCTGTGTAACTTTTTTTACACAAGAATGATTAATGGATTTTGTTCTGAATTTAGATTTCATGACAAATACCAGCTTAACCTTTATTGCATAAAATAGAGGGTCTGATACATTGCTGGCAGCCATATTTTAACTTAGCACTAATGGTATTTAAATTGTAAACAATGTGGCAGTATGCCTGATGGGGCCTGCAGGGCCTGCACATGCACCAGCAAATGCATGGACAATAAAAGTTAAGAAGTAATTATTATTTATTGGTTTCATCTGGTTTACAATGAAAGTAGCTTTCACCCTCAAATAACTTCTGTGAACTAGAGTTCGGGTCCAAGAAGATAGCATTTTTAATGCTTTTGTAATTAGGATGTAATGGAAGTAGAGTTTGATTTTGTATATGTTTTCAGTTGCATTATATAGCATTTCAGTGACTGTTTTTGTTAATTCCTCTTCAACTCTTTAAATGCCAGGAATCAGAACCAGGACATGCAGTAGTGGAAATTCAGTACTATTTTTTTCTGACTTACTTACCACATATTTGATGAGAGTAGTTTCTGCTGTTAATACAGCCATGTAGAACACTTATCATTCTAAAAGATTTATTTGGTTATGCTTCCGTTATATAAAATTCTTCTAGATTGGAAGAGAATTTAGAAGTGTTAAAATTTAAATTTAAGATTTGTTGTCAATTTCCATCCACTAAAGTGTGTTAAAAAGGACTTCTGTTGGTCCTTTGTTATAGTGTGTGTTTGCTAACATCCTGTTCCTTGGTACCATGATGTCACTTAATATTTAATGACTTTTACGCCTAAATTCTCCCTCCTGCATTCACAATCCAGTCAGATAGATGATTTGTTATAATGTTTACATTAAACTTGGAGGACCATCTCAGTGAAATTCACTAGATGACTGGCAAGGACATACTTAATTTGATATGTGTATATATATATACCAATAATTCCAAGCCTGTTGTTACAAAGATCACTACTGTTCTGTGAATATAAGCACAGGTCTCACAATCAGCCATTGGGTTTTTGTTAAAAAAAGTGAGTTAAAATATTTCCTCTACAAAAATTTTGTGTACCCATAATTCAGTTTCCAATACAAATTTTATATTGAGATGACACATACATTTTAAGCATGTTTTAATTTTAATACTGCATGATAACTCATATTAATCAGCATAAATATGTATCTGAAACTATAATTTTGCCTGTGGTTCTGTATGGGTGTGAAACTTGGTCTCTGACATTAAGAAAGGAACCTAGACTGAGAGTGTTTGAGAACAGGGTGTTAAGGAGAATATTTGGACCTCAGAGAGATGAAGTGACAGGAGGTTGGAGAATACTGCATAATGAGGAGCTTCATAACTTGTACTCTTCTCCAAGTATAATTAGAATGATCAAGTCAAGGAGGATGAGGTGGGCAGGGCATGTAGCATGAATGGGGGAGATGAGGAATGCGTATAGGATATTGGTAGGAAAGCCAGAAAGAAAGAGACCACTGGGAAGACCAAGGCATAGGTGGGTGGACAATATTAGAATGGATCTTAGATAGGATGGGATGGTATGGATTGGATTGATCTGGCTCAGGATAGGGACCAGTGGAGGGCTCTTGTGAACATAGTAATGAACCTTTTGGTTCCATAAAATGCTGGGAAATTCTTGAGTAGCTGCAGAATTGGCAGCTCCTCCAGAAGGGCTCAGCTCCATGAGTAAGTAAGTAAGTAAATATGTATCTGACTTGAGGTGCTAGCACACTGTTGATTGCATGATGTCTCCAGTACAGTTCAAATGCAGCAGCTTGTAGTTGTGATTTAGACAAAATCTGTGCTAAATTTGTGCCATTTTCAGTACTGATTTATATTGAGTGCCATGCTCATTTTTTTTTTTTTAAGATTCGTTTAGTTATATCATGATATTCATAAGATTTCAATAAACTTTTGCCGTGCACCCCTCACACCTTGGGGTTAGCAGAATATATATATGTAAGAATATCGTAAAAACAATTTCATTATTTTAGTACACATTTTTAAAAAGACATAGATGACGTAGAAACATGTAGAAATTAAAATAATAAGATTTTATAGGTGTTCATGTTAACTTTGTTCTTGAGCTGTTACAGATGTGTTTTAAAATGTTATCGTTAATGTTCTGTATTTTTGGTCATTATAAACCAAGAACAAATTTTGTATGAAAAATGATTTCTTTACCTGTAATTAACTTAAGTTTTCAATCTTTATACAGGTAGAATTATGGGTGAAGGCTGTAGATTCCTCTTATAATACTCAACCAGAAAATTTTGAGAATATTTGGAACTTGCGAGGAGTTCTCAACACTGCCTACCATAGAGTCAGAGTAAATATTAATCAGACCAAGAAATAGTAAGTATTTTCCTTTCATGTAATGAAATGAGGAATTGCTGCAATTGCTGTTTATATGATCATATTGTGTGTGTTGAGCATAAGAATTTGTGAACTGATATGCATATTATCTTTACTAGATCTCCTTACATAAGTTATAATTGCCTTCCTGCTGTTCCAGCTTCTCATATTAGATCGTTTACGCACTTGCAACTCTAAAGACTTAATTTCTTTTTGTTTTTGGCCTTGGTGAATTGATTAATACTCTTCTTTCAGTATTGTGTGATATGGTTTTGTAATCTGGTTTTCCTGCAATAACTCCTGTGTTATGGGTCTTTTGTGTTTTTACATATTTATGCATGTGTTACAAGTGATGAAAGATTTGTTCTGTATTTATGTGTTATTATGTGCATTAGTGAATGTTAGCAATTTCTGTTGTTGATTAATATTGATATTGGTCTTTCACATGTGAATGTGCAATATGTCGATATTGTGCTTGTATTTACAAGAATAAGCTACATTTGCTGTATGCCATTTTTATGAGATCCATATATTTATGAGGCTTGTATTGATGTTATTAAACATAGAATTGTTTATGCTTCATTTTTGTTAATATTTAAAGATTTTGTTATTTAACTTGCATGGAATTTTTTAATATTAAAATATTGCCTGCCCCTGATTACAGTGAATGTATGAATATGTAGCCTTACAACTTGGATGTTTGAGTATATTCATTGCCTAGGGTAAGGAATAAGTGAAGCCTATTTTCCTATACGGATCCACTGTTGGAAGCATTCCACCACCCCCACCTCTGACAGTACTACCACATTATGGGCACATGGCTCAGTGTAGCATCATTAATTGATATTTCTTCTAATAGTTCCTGTACAGCAGCAGTAAATGGCAGGTGTTTTATAATCTCTCAGACCAGCAGAAGGTACTTCTTTTTTGGGTGCAGGATTATTTTGGAACCAATTGCCATCAGGTTATAAATAATTAAAATTGAAAATGTTTAACTTTGGGTCAGAGTCATGTATAACCTAGGCAGCTGAGTCCACTTAATCCAGACCATGTCCCAGTTACAAATGCTTATCTCATAAATCACATGAGACATAAGGTTTGTTGTACATAACGTTATAAAATCTTGTGTGATCAGATGCATCAATCTTGAACAGACTGTTTGATTCTCTTCTCTTCCCTTATAATGCTTCTGCTTGTGCCTGTGTTCCCCAGTTGGTCTCTTTCCATGATGTTTTCCAAGCAAAATATGTTCATATTTTGTGAAATTTAAGGTTCTTACATACCCCCTTGAAGATGGAAGCAGCATGTTCCTCTAAAATGTTTGTGCCTAACTGCCAAACTACAATGGCATCACATCCCAGAAAACAGTAAGCCTCAAGTGCAAACACTGTTTCCTTCCCATGTATGTCCCATGTTCTATCTACCTTTTCAATCTCTGTTTAATCATCCTAACAGTACTGAGTGATAAATACAAATTGTGAATTTCTAATTTTACAGTTTTCTTCATTCATGAATCTTTGTTAATCCTTGTGTGGGAAAGATTAATGGAAAGTCACTGAAACCTTATCAAAATATACAGATGAATTTATAGAGTTGTATCTTGCGAACTTGCTGCAAGTGATACAACCATGAATGGTGCTGTTATCTCTTATCTAGTGATCACTCTTCTCTACCTGAACTTTTCAAGTTTGTAATGATAAAAATCTTGTGGCCACAGACACGTGAGTAAAATGCATACATTTTCATTGCCACTACAAAGTGACACACACACACACACACATACACACACACACACATTCTCTCTCTCTCTATATATATATATATATCCGCCCCTCCTCCCTCTCACCCACCCACCAACCGACTGACTGACTGACTGATCGATTCCATAATAAAGGATATTCTTTGGGAAGTTGATACTTGTTCTTTTGCTCATAGAATCCCCCGTTATTGAACCTGATATTTACACTGTTCACAAGGCTTAGCTATTTTGCCTTGTTCTTAGCCACTTCAGTACAATTCACAATTTCACAACCTGTTTTTTTACATTCAGTTAATTGACTTCTCTTAAACACTCTTCGTTGAGCAGATGACACTTCAGAAATTTGTGTTATGGAGCCTGTACTTTTTAGGTATCCTTTACAAAGTAAAAAGGAATACCTTCTATGAATGTTATGTCTGTCCATCTGTTTGTGACAAAATATCAGTGCCTAGACAAGTAGACAGGCTGTCTTAGAATTTTATATGGGAGACTTCACTAAAAGCTGTTCAGTTCAGTTGAGTTCATCCATATTGATCCATAATAAAATCTAATTTACATAAATGAACTTTTCCATGAAACCCCTAAGCCATTTCAAAGGTACTGTTAGGCAGTTCCAATTTTAAACCATATTGATCCATAATAAAACCTAGTTTGCCTACTGGACCTTTCCATGAATTCCATGATTGTCACAAACAGTTTCACAGATTTTGTTGAAATTCTGTATTGCAGACTTCCATCAAAATATGTTGGACACTTCTCATTTTAAACCATATTGATGCATAATAGAACCTAATTTGCATAAGTCAATACATGGAATTTTCCATATATGCCATAAACCCTTCTACACATTTTGTTGAAATTCAGCATGGGAAGCTTTCTGTGATTTGCATGTCATCATTCCTTTTTAAATAAATTTAATAAACTCTGAAGAACAGCGTTTCAATTTTTTTTCTTCAATAATCCTTTCAGCCACACTATGGCCCTGGGGTCAACTCAGTCTCTAACAGAAATGAGCACCAGGAATATTCCTGGGGTTAAAGGGTGGCTGGCACGTAAGGCTGATAGCCTCACCGCCATCTGTGGGAGCCTCAACATCTCACAACCCTATGGGCCTCCACGGCCTGTTACAGGAATACCTTTACTTTTTTTTTTTTTACCTTTTCCAATCTTGTGACATATATTCATGGTCACATGAGAAATGCTGGTATATGACATGGTATCAGAAAGTTCCCAGACTGTTATTGTTGTAACTGACTCGGTGAAAGAAGATGAGAGGGGAGGCCAAGGTCAGACTTCCTCAAGCCTGTTGCATCAGTCTGCCATGTGACACCGCCCTGTGAACACACGTTTTTATGAGTGCTTTTTCAACTTCATGATTCGTTTTGTCTGTGTTGTATAGCAAAATCGAGCAACACGTCTGCATTAAATTTTGCATGAGGCTTGGTAAATCCACTACCAACACCCTTGAAATATTTCATGAGGCTTTTGGAGAACATTCAAGCCAGACAGAGGTTTTAGAATGGCATTCACGTTTCAAGGCAGGTCGAGTGTCAGTTGAAGATGATAAACATTCAGGGCCATCAATCACTAGCAAAATGACAGAAAATGATGACATTTTTCGAGAACCCATCAGAAGACTGTTGCCAAACAATCTGTGAGCTTGCAGATGCTGTTGGGATCAGTTATGGAGTTTGAGTTAGATCTTAACAGAAAATTTGAACATGCGCCACATTTTCCTTCATCACAACAATGCGCTTGCCCACACATCCCTAAAAACCACAGAGTTTGTGACTAACAGCAACATCCTCCCAACTCACTGGACTTAGCCCCTGTGATTTTGCTTTGTTTCCCAAATTAAAAATGAAACTGAAGGGACGATGTTTTGACACAGTCTGATATCGAAAGTACTTGACAGCATTAACGAAAATTACTCCCATAGTGCTTTTGAAGTGTGGGAAAAACGATGGGATCCCTGTATACATTCCCAAGGAGACTATTGTAAATGAGAGGGCAACCAAAATTAAGTTAAGCCAGAATTTCTTTTTTGACATAGTCCGGGAACTTTCTGATACACCTCATAAAAGCAGTATATTCTGGTGTTGTGTGTGTGATTACTTGATCTCCTTCTTCAGCTGTCATAAGTTGGGCTCTCTGGACTGCTCTGATTCAGAATGATTACTCACTTGCAATGGCTGTTGCTGTGTCTTCTGTAACAGTGGCTCTTACTTTATGCTTTTCAGTAATAATTTATAGATACAGCATAAAAACAACAAAGTAATTAATAACAAAACAGATTTATTACATTTTATTGCAAAGAAAGAAACATTTATATGAAGTTTAATATATTTTTCCCCCTGTTCCCTTTCTTCACAACCATTTTAGTATTACTGGTATTTTGATGGTGTTTGACCTTTGGCGTAGAGTTGGTCATTCAATGTTGGATATAAGATGTCATTACTAATGAAAGCACTGTTGTTAGATTCTGCATGAAGTGCTAACAGTGTTTTAGGGAGGACTGTCAGTCTGTCAAAAATAACAGGTAAACCTCCAAGCATTCTTAGTCTTGAGATGGCTCAGTTATCTCCACAGTCTGGCCACTTTACCCCAGGGAATGGAGCTACTCCAAGTTCCATTAATCCCTTGGTCAGTGAATACTGGAGACTCCCCTGGAGTAAAGTGGCCAGAGTTTGAAGATTACTCAGCCATCTCATGACTAAGAATGCTTGGAGGTTTACCTCCATTATTTTTGTGGGATGCTGTCTTCTGATAGTAGTTTGAAATATATGTGAACAGTAAGAGTCTTAAATGAGGGGAGATTGGTTGACCCATAGATTATATGAAGATTCTAGATCAGCTGCAGATATACCAAATGTTATGTGAAATAAGAAAATGATTATTGAAATTAAACTGGAAAAGACTGGGATAAAAGTGGTTATGGCCTATTTCAAGGTACTGTCTTAACAACTAATTTATAAAATTTGAGGAAAATGATGAAAGACCTCAGTCAGGTTACCTTTCATCCAGTGGAATTTGAAGTGGTTACCTCCTGATGCAAGTTACTGTGTCGTTGCCTAACCTAGCCTCCTAAGTGTAAATCTAAATCAGTTTGGTATTTAACGATCATATGATATCACATGAGGTTGGTGAATGGTTATATACTGTGAAATGGAAATTACCAGGAAGTAAGTGGTAAACATATGTGTATCTTATGGAAGGGCTGAAGAAAGCCACGAGAAACCTTAAGTTGCCCAGTGCTCCAGCTGAGATTCAAAGTGGCTACTTTCTGAATAGAAGTCAAAATTGTTACCATGGAGCTAACCTGCTTGGTTTAAACCTAGGACTAACTTATTATCTAAACTAGTTAAATATCCATAACTGATTAAATGAATACTAATTTTCTAAAATAATTTGGACAACTGGTCTGTTAAGCAAGGTGTCTGCATCATGTATATTTGTTGTCTTCTTTGAAAATCAGTCATCTTTGTTATCATAACAAATAAGTTGGTTCCTTTCATTCTGAAATGACAGAATACAGTTCTGTGCTGTTGCATTTCAGTGATTTATTTTGTGTGAGTACTGCTGAGAAGCTGCAGTTTGCAAAAACACAGCCATCACAAGACTCACTCTGGACTGGGGTGAAACCATCGCGTTGAGTTGCATCTGCAAATATATAAAATGTTCTTTGAAATTTTGCGTCCATTATTGGTCTTGAAGTTTATTAACTGAAAATATAAATCATTTGTTGAAAAACTTATCACTACACTGCATAAGGACACAAACTATATTTCTCTTGTATGGTGTTGACTGTGAATCATATCAAAATACGTTTTAAATATGTTACATTATAGATCATGAAAATTTCTTATGCATGGGAAGCATTCTTTTGCTCTGTTCAAAGCATAAATTTCAAGTATTTTAAAATAAAGTGATGTGTATATCTAGATCTGAAAGAAGTGAGATATGTAGGGAAATTGCCATTAGATATTAAATGCAACAACATTTACAATATGCAAGTGGTTCATAATCATTTGACTGAAAGTTCTATTACAGTACTTTGATATGTATCATGAATGTTGCTGTGAAAACAGTTCTAAAGCCTTGTATGTGGGGTTACTGTTAAAAAAGTTTTTGTGCTCATGAGAGTTGCAATAACTCATTCAGTAAACTGGTACACTGGAAATTTCTCTTCATTGCCACACCCATAGCAACTCTTGGCCGAAGCTAGCGTGATGTCCAGTATGTACCTCAGGCTCGATCTCTAAGAATAAAGCAGACAGAGCACAAAACTGGCCACATCAAGAATGCTTGGACCTTTACTGTAATACCCCTTCTTCACATTGGTGGTATGGTGTCTAGGTGCAGATATGACTTTACTATTTATCTTTATATATCTGTGAGGTTTTCTCTTTCCATTTTGTGGGCAGATTAACATTTTGTTAATATAATAGTGTCACATGTATGGGGGACTACAGACAGGGTGGATTGGTAACTGGATTTATTAACCGCCTACAGGTCACAACTACAATTAATTATCCCACTGCTGCTTTACACAATTTATAAACTTCCCACACTGATCTCTTGGGGCATGCAGTAGCGTAGTTGATTGAGGCACTATGCTACAAGCCAGAAGGTCTCGGGTTCAAGTCCTGATGAGGTCATTGGATTTTTTTCAATTGACCTGATCCTTCCAGCCGCACTATAGCCCTAGGGTCAACTGAGCCTCTAACAGAAATGAGTACCAGAAATATTCTTGGAATATTCTTTGGGGGTGAAGGGCGGCCAGCGCGTAGGGCTGACAACCTTGCCGCCATCTATGAGCCGATTGTCTAGAAAATGTGGGACCCTCAACATCTCATGGGCCTCCATGGCCTAATGCAGGGATACCTTTACTTTTTTTTTATTTCCTGATCTCTTACATAACACAGGAATCACAACAGTCTCACTGAATCACACATAAACACAGTCTTCTAATCACACATGAAGTCTTCATGGGCCGACTTCTAATTTTTCTTCAACTACGAACTTCCCGTGGCTATCTCCTACCAAGAACTGACTTGCTTGCTTGTTCGCATGCTTCTGCTACTACTACTACTACTCATAACTCATAACTGCCCTGAATGAATTCTGTCACTTAGTTATATGGCCATGGAACAGACATAGACCTACAGTAAACATGTATAATGTGATTGCTATCTAGCCAGTCTATTGGCGCATTGGTCAGAACTACAGGAAACAGCTTCCTTTATTGTGTGTTGTAACATGTTTACAGAGCTGTTCCCTGGCAACACATTGGTCAGATCCATTACAATACATTATGCAAAAGTGGGTTCAGCAAGCTATTTAGGAGCTGGAACCATTTGTTGACCTATCCTGTCTCAGTTACCTAAATATTCCTGTTAGTGTTCATCCTTATTTCTTGTTCCAGGTTCTCTGTATTTCATTATTAATTAGGGCAGCATATCAGCCTATCTGTCTGCACTCCATCATTGCAGCAGTGTTCAAGTAACTATGAGATATGTCTGCTGTCGGATGTGGATTTGTGGTCAAATAAATGCAACCTGAAGTTAATAGTTACTTGAAATTTGAAGAGATGTGAGTATCATGCAGTCCAGTTAAAATGTCTCCCATCGAGTTGCTAGCAATGAACTGACGACTGGTTGCTGATTGGCTTCTGGAGAGGGGCTCAGAACTGTACACAGAAATGGATCCAGACATACGCTCTGCTCTCATCCGTTGTGCGAAATCCAACAACTGAACCTGTGAAACATACACCAGTGATTCAGGAACATAAACGTTTATACAGTCCACAAAAATGAGGCGCTTGAGAATACTAGACAAGCTAAAAGCAGTAATCAAACACTAAGAAAGGTGTCAGATGTTAAACCATCAAAATAAACAAAAAGAAATTCATTAGCCTGCTGTAATTAACAGATAATGAAGTCATTACTTTAAGCAGTTGCTGCCAGTTGGATGTCAATAGTATCATGCTTGTCTCCTCAGAATTATAAGTATGAGCAATTCAAGCAGCATGTAACAAGTTGAACATAATTTGGCATAACATCATACTGGTCTCAAACCAGCAGAGCTGAAAGATGGGCTGCCTTGGCTGCAGACTTTGCCCTCTTACCCAGTAAGCATTGTGGCTCAACATATTAAATGGTCTTCGAATTCAATATTAAGTTTGGACATGTGAAACCGAATTCAATAATCACAAATGTCCCAGAAACCATGTATTTTCTTACTGATCCATCTCAGACATTAATAGAGAAAAGAGTCCAAGATTAGATAATGTACTGTTGTAGTCTGAATTGTGTATGTGCAGATTGTTAATTATGTAATTGTAGATTTAGGTTAAAATTTTCATGCCACTTTCATGTATTACCATAAAACCAAACTGTTGCAGCCACCTGGAGTATTTACTGCATAAGCCTTATTCCATTCCTGTCCCTGAAACCCATAATCTTGGTCAATGATATATGTTGTATGTGATACCATGTTTGGACAAATTGTAAGAGATGGGTTATCAGTGCCAGCAGTCCCCGCAAGTTGCTCATCCAACCAGCAGTCATTGTCCGGCTTGATATCAGCGGGGAAATGGTATGCAAGATGACAAGGGACAAGATCTAAGAGACAAGCTCAGGCTTATACAGGAAGTGGATATTCAGAATGGGAGTAGGTTGGAGTGAGCCAAAAGTGAAGAAATCGTAACGCCTCTTCATATTTAGGTGCGAGAGGTATAATAGGAAATGTAAACAGGAGTAAGAAGCAAACCATACAGGTATTAATGAGAATTTTGTACACTGATTTTGAGTTCTTTATAATTTTCTGTTGAAGAAATACAGGGCAGAATGTTTTGAATGACCCTTGTATGTTTCATGTTGCTTGCTAATTTTTTTACAAGCAAATTTTGGAGAAATTTGATGAAGTTTGGTTTGGCTTCATGTAAAGCTGAAGTTACATATAATTGATCAGTGTGCTCCAAAATTAAATTTGCCAGCTTAGGCCATAATGAAGAACTTTCGGTTTCTGTAACGAAGGAGTCTCTCGAATGACTTTCTGCTGCTCAAGGAAGATTCTGCACCATGCTCTTGTATACCTGGTGCTCCAGTGATGTAATTGCTTTGCACTCCACAAGTACAATGTACATGAAGAGAGAGAGATTGTGGGGAGCTTCTCTGTGGTATAAACTTATCCTGGTGAGACCCAGCTCGTCAGGAAGGTTCAGATAAATGTGACGTGCTCCTGTCCAGTCCTTCCAAGTGTTCAGCATTACCTGTGCATAAGTCAGAGGAGAAACAATTCAAACACATTACTTGATGGAACAAAAAATAGCAAACAAATTACTGTGAAACTTAATTTGATATAATCCTTACTGAAAGTTATTTAACTTTTTGAATAATAAGCTCCATATATTCTGTGCTAGCATAGAAATTGTGGCACTGCTTACCCCATTATTATTTTGTGCTATAGCTCTTACTTTTATTGTGGTGTACAGGGTTCAACATAAGTTGTCTCAGTTCACCAGTCATATAAAATTCTGATCACACATTTTTCCACAGGAGAAACTTTGCTTACCCACACCATTATAATTACTCTGCACCAGCTCACTTACCATCATATAACATACAATATACTCATATATAAAATACTATCCTTTGTATTATGTAATATTTCATTAGTCTTACTCACTGAACTATATGTTAAGATAAGATAAAACACAAACCCATAACATAACTAAATAATTTGATTTTTGTAGCCTTCATTGTGTCTTGTGGATTTTGCACTGAAGTACAACTTATCAGTAGCTTCTTTTGGATCATGTTCTGCCACAGGTAGTCTGTTTAAGTTTGTCATCATAAAGGTACTTAAATGTTTACTTTTCAATGAAGATCTTAATTTGATTATTATTAAATTCATTAGATTGTAGATTGAAACATCTTTCATAACTTGAGGTGGAAACAGGTAATACACAGCCTAAAGTAATTTGAGTAAAATGGAAAAGTAACTTTGGTAAGTATGTCACTTATGGTTAGCACTCATGCAGCTACCATGTTCATACCACTGGCTTAATGCTTTTTCTGTTAAATCTTCAACACCTTCCTTTTGTGTTTCACAGATCAGAGGTCTGTAATGCTTAAAAAGTATAGTAATTCTGTCCTCTCATAAACTTTCTAATTTTTGTCTTGACCACACAAATGTTTCAAATACAGACAGAGCCTTATCAACACTATTTGTGCTTGCATTGGTGACCCTGTCTTTTATGTGTTGTATCCCATCTTCAGTTACTTCATTTTTACCTCTGTTGAATATTTCTTCAGTTTCTTGCATATGTATGAACTGTACATCTATGGCAAAGCATGCGCACATTTTGAAACATGTGCTTGACTGACTACAACTGCTAGTGGTGGGCTTTATGAATTGAGAAAAGACTCATCGGGATATGCCTGGTTAAAACACATGCAATTTCAAAGTGTGGCCTTACTTGCATCATTGTTACTGCCAGAAGCAGCAAATTCCAGTCAGTCAAAACTACCCTTATTGTTGCACTCAGTCTACTAGCACCCAATCTTAACAGTGTGCAATATCTGCAACTTCAGTACTTCTTCATTTAGACCTGGTTCCAGTTTGTTGAATTCCCATACTGTAAAATTGTATACAGATAATAGAGCACTATCAGCTGTCATTCCAAGAAATGGCAAATTTTTCACAGATTTCAAAGCTGACAAGTGTAGTCTGTGCATAAAGCAGTGTACTGCCACTAGGTTTTCAGTATGTTGTACTATCTTTGTGCCCAGTCCATTATAGCCTCGGTTAACTGTTTTGACATTACACAATTGTGATGCAGTATGTGATCATGTTTACTCATGTTGACTATTTCTACATCCATTGGTGTTTAACCATGTAAGGATTTATGGAATGCTGAATAAATGAGTTCCAAGGCCATTCATCTAATTTTCATTTCTCCCATCTCAATTTACCTGAATGAGATTCATTGTCAATAGTAAAATAATAATCTTCTGGATATGATGTGAAGTTCGGTAGAAGGGTACCAACATTATGGAGGATTGTAATGGTATCTTGTATACATATTATATAATATGAAAGACAGTATTTTATATGCCTCATATGTTATATGACAGTAGTTAGTTAGTTGGTTATTGGAGAGGGTGGGTTTCCCCGTGCACTGAGACCTGTATTGGTCCATTGTGCTTCCCTCTATGATTTCTACCAGTCTCTATATCCTACTGGTACTGGTGCTTACCATCAGTCCCACCCAGCCAGTGAGACCGGCTCTACTAGCTGAGAGGTATCTATAATGCTTCCCCCATCTACCAGAGGTATTAGAGACTGCTGTTGGGCGGGAAATGTCCGTTAATTTGGCTCAGTGACCTCCTTTGGAGGTATGAGGTTCTTTTACGTGCCGTAAAGCTACGACACGGGACCCACGGCTTAAGGTCCCTCCTGGAGGACTTGTTCCCTGAATTTTTTTCACCCTTAAAAATTTGACGACCTGCGCCGGGTATTTGAACCCGCGTACTACGAGTCATGAGGTGGGAACATTACCTCTAGACTACGGAAGCCGCTTATATGACAGTAAGTAGGCCAGTGAAGAGCAGTTACAATGCAGTAGGAAATACGCATGAGTATATGTTTGACCATGACATTGTGGCAGGTAGACTAGAGTCTGCTTGTGCGTATAGAATCATGCATATCCTCCTACACAGAATTGTTCAGTCGCCATTAGACTAAAGCAGTGGTACTGATTACATATCCAGTGATCATAATGTTGCAAGTCTCTGCCTAATTGAAAACAGCCACCAATATATCAAGGGGATACTTGATACAGCTGGATTTGAGATACAGCCCCTGTTTCAAATTTAGAAGCTGCCAGACATTACTCAAAGACATATTACACCATAAAGAACTCTCTTTTGTTTTGTTAGATATATTCCAAGAAATGTGCAATGTAAAAGTGTGCATACCAGTTTCTTACAGTGATCTGTCTGTGGAAAGTATGTTGAAGTCTAGTAAAAGGTAAAGCTATCCCTGTAACAGGCTGTGGAAGCCCATAGAGTTGTGAGACGTCAAGGCTCCCACATTTTCTAGACAGTCAGCTTGAAGTTAGGGGTGAGGTCAGCCTTACATGCTGGCCAGCCACCCTTTACCCCCAGGAAGGTTCCTGGTACTCATTTCTGTTAGAGGCTGAGTCAACCCCGGCTGCTGAAAGGATTAGGTAAATTGAAAAATCCAATAACCTCATCGAGAATCAAACCCGCGACCTTCCAGTTAGTAGCATAGTGCCTCAACCAACTACACTCGCGTGTCCCCCAGTGTGACTTTAGTAGCATACAGAAATGCATTGTCATTGTGATAACATTAATATTAGTTCACAATTATTGGTAGATCTACCTGACTGAAATTCCTCTCTAGATTTTTGAAACCTAAGAGCATGTAAGCAGTGTGATGATGTGGAGATGAAGACAGCAACTCTGTCTCTGGAATAATGCTTCTCACCTCCCGATATAATCCTGCAGAAGAAGGTCATTGTTTAGTAGGCACACAATCTTGGAAGTATTATTTCATAACTATAAACACATATATTGTAACTTTACTTTTAAATGGTTATTCTAGATACTGAAATATTTTCGTAAAGTGCCTCATCAGAAATTAAATGTTCATGTTAGCTTCATCATGTCTCTGCAACTACATGTGTGTTTGCAAGAGATTTAGTTTACATATTTTACTGGAAAATTCTTATTAAATTTCTAATCCAGTGGATACTTTTCATCTGTATTGGCCATATAGGGTCAGAGAGGGGGGGTTTTGTCTCAGCAAGTCTTGGAAGCCTCTCATCTGTTCTCTTAAAAATCCCCACTGGGATATGACGCCAGATCCAGAAGGCTACACAGGCCATGACCGACTAACATAACTTCCCCCCCCCCTCAGCTTACAGGTTAGTGCCCAGCCTTTAACCTTGCCTTTCTCTCCCCTACACAAAAACCATGCTTGTCTCAGCTCCCTTCCCCCCCTCTCACACTACTGTTTTCATTTCTATACTTGCCCTTCACCCCCTTTATTCTCTNTCTTTCTTCATGTTAACAGAAACATGTCACCTGCTGCACTATAAAGGTGCACTGACAATTTCTAAGGGCAATTATAGCAGTACACTATACAGTGTTAAGAATGGACTTTCTGCCTTTGTAGAGGTATGAGTACCATGCAAACATTTTCACAGAAGTCACAAAGAGCCCCCCCCTGCATAGACAGAGTAATTCTGTCCCTGTACTTTACTAATTAAACACTATGCCATGAAGATGTATGGGTGAGTGGATGTATAGATCCACGTATTCTTGACATTGGCACTAGTTGATGAGTGGTCAGCTTGATGCCTGAGCCACTTTACTCATGGGGAAAGAGCCTCTGGTATTCACTGGATAGGAGGCTAGGTGGGCCCCAGAACCAGTTGGATGGTATAGAAGAGAGAAAAATCTTGCCCCTAGCGGGACTTGAATTCCATCCCCTCAGCCTGTAGCCAGTTGTTATGCCAATTTCTTAATCCCAGCTCAGAGTATACCTGTTGTTCAACCAATTACTTCTTGCTTATCATAAACAGCACTAAAAATACCTGGATGTAAAAATTAATACTTCCATCCCTATGTATTTGTATTTGTATTTATTGTCAGTTCAAGAGATCCAAAGATGGATATAGAACATGTCATAAAATAATACAAAGTACAGAATACATACATAGTTATTACACAACTAGACAGTACAATGAGCACAACAATAATAAAAGTAATCTATTTAGATATGCATTCACAGTATAAAACGTATGAGTGTTCAAGAAATGCCTTAATACAACCTTAAACTTTTTAAAATTATTAGATGTGTTCTTGATCTCTATGGGCAATTAATTAAATATTTTTATACCCTCATAATAAACTCCTTTTTGATAAATAGTTGAGGTAGATACAAATCTTGACTTTATCTAGTATTAATATGAGAGTAAGTCATTAAGTAAGTTACAAATGGATATAGAACGTAAACAAATAAAAGAACTGATTTGAAAAATGCTTTTATTTCTCAACATAATTTCCCTGTACATTGAGGCACTTGTCCCATCATTTCACAAGCCCCTGAAAACCAGCAGCATAAAATTCTTTGGGCTGCTGACGGAATCAGGCATGTTGACACAGCATGGCCTACCTCATAATACATGAGAGGTTAGGTTTTCACAACGTCTGTGCACGATGGGTGCTGTGCATGCTGACCCCACAACACAAAATGCAAAGAATGGGTCTGGCATTACAGCATCTAAATTGCTACCACGATGAAGGACACAATATACTAGCCCGAATTGTCACAGGTGATGAGTCTTGGGTTCACCATTACCAGTCCGAGACAAAATGTGCATCAATGCAGTGGAAACATCCTGTGTCGCCTGCCAAAAAAAAAGTTTAAGGTAACATGATCCTCCAGGAAAGTGATGCTCACAATCTTCTGGGATCATGAAGGCATACTGCTCACTGCATTCCAGCCTCAAGGACAAACCGTAAATGCCAACTCCTACTGTAACATTTCCAGGAAACGTTGTAAGGCCATTCAGTGGAAGCAACCAGGACTTCTCACCAAAGGCATGTTGCTCTTGCATGACAATGCCCGTCCACATACTGCCAACAAGACAAATGAGACACTGTGATTTTTCAAATGGGAAGTCCTTGAGCATCCTCTGTATAACCCCAACCTTGCTCCAAGCGACTTCCATTTGTTTGGCCCTTTTAACATCATCTTTCAGCTGAACAATTTCCCGATGATGAAGCTGTTGAAAGGGAAGTTACCGCCTGGGTCGACAGCAGCCCAAAGAATTTTATGCTGCTGGTTTTCAGGGGCTTGTGAAATGATGAGACAAGTGCCTCAGTGTACAGGGAGATTATGTTGAGAAATAAAAGCATTATTCAAATCAGTACTCTTTAAGTTCTATATCCATTTGTAACTTACTTATTGACTTACCTACGTAGTATGAGAATCAATGTTTGATGGAAAAAGAACTTTATTTTGCAGCACAAATACTAGCAACAAAAATATATATTGTGATGCAAATGATAAAATATTTAACTCTTGAAATATGTTTCTACACGAAACTCTATTGCCATATCCAGCCAGCATCGCTTTGATAGCCTTCTTTTGGAGAGAAAGAAATAGCAGAACTATGAGGTGAGTTTCCCCAAAAGATGATACAATAGCTCATGTGTCAGTTTAATCCGTGCAGCATGAAATATGGTTAGGTCTCATTATTTCATTCCAAGCACACAGTACAGAACTAAAACGCAGACCTGGAATTTGTTATGTATTATGTTAGATTTGAGGTTCTCACGGCAGTGACTATGAAGGGTTCTATCTTGAGGGATATAACACTGGACTATATGGCTGTATTTCCCAGAGGACAGAACTCTTGTTATGCATGCCTTGTATTCTGATGCCATTTGTTTATGTGGCAAAGTATATAATGAAAATTATCATTTAACATGGCACTTCTTTATAATGTCACTATGAAAAGGCAAGTTTTCTGCACCTTGATGTAGAATGAAGTCACTCCCCAGTGCATGTTCATCGAGAAGCTGGCCTTGTTGATGCATGTGCTGTAATGTCTCCTGGTTCTCTGTGAAGTGAACCAGTGGATAAAGTACTGCAAACAGACAGTGCAATATCATATTAATTGGTTTGTAGCATAGAAAATTATGTATTCTGCTGTGGTGAAACTGATTTGGCTAAGTGTAGCGATTAACATGATTTTAAGGTGTCCGAGAATCAGGACTGGCATGATGGTGCAATAGCAAATCAAACAACTGCTGTATGATGCACATTTTAGCAAGTTTTTGGCTCCTTGTTATATGAAAATTTATATTGCTGCTCTTTTGTTCATATTGTGAACATTAATTGGCAGTCATCTGGACATATGCAACAGAGTAAAACTATTTTCATATTTTCAGAATTATCACTGTACCAGGGAATTTTGTGTTACTGTGTTCAAGTTTCAAGAATTAACTGTGTTCAACTGGTGGGGTTTCAACACTTGGGCAGAATTTAGCCTTGCACAGGCCCTGCCTAGAATGTTCCTAAAACATAGTTTTAACCAAATAAGACTGTTGCTCTCAAAAACTGCTGTGATGTTATAGGTGCTACCACTTCATTTTTAATATATGTTTTCTTATTTTCCTTATGATAGTATTCTGTGAATATGTGGCAAAGTATATAATGAAATTCAATTGACATATTCATGTTTCATGTAAACTTAGTAGCTTGATATCCCAGTCTCTCCTAAAGAGGCACAGTGCATGTGTAGCCCCAAAGAACTTGGAGTACTAGGGATTGAATGTACAGTCCAGTCAGTTTGGGGCAGAAGCTAAGAGCACTTTCTGTCCACTTGTGTCATAGAATATGTGTTTCAACTCTGCCACAGGCATCTTCTTATTTGTAAAGCTATTTTACTCAGCTGCACAAACAGCGTTCACATCACAGCATAGCAAATAGTGGTACATTATTTGTACCAAACCCTGTGAGGAGATGGAGTAAGAGCACGTTACATGAAGGCAATATCATTTTGCTGTCATGTGGTGCGCCTTCCAGTAATTTTCTTGACATATTCAACTAATTCACTCATATTATCTGCTAAGTAACTCGCTCTTAAGTGACTGACCAATTGAATAGTGGAATGGGGATCTTCGCATACCGCATTTTTCCTTTGAGCTGAGCAACAAACCATCCTTCAAATGTATGTTGCCCGCGAGAGTTGCTCGCAGATAGTGCTGCTCCGCGCTGCGATGTGTTGGGGATATGAATGAGAAGAGTGCAAGTTGTCCGGTCTCTTCGGCGCTGCCGCTGCTACTGGTACTGCTTATGCTACTAGTCGTCTCACCCGAACTACCTGAGAAAGATGGATCTGATTTAATTTCATCTGTGACTGGACATTATTTATTTTTTTGAGTTTTCAATTGCATAGGTTACGTAACTTCGAATGGAAGAATAACTTTGAATTATAAATAATATGGAAGAAAGTGGCCGTACCGTATTTTGAGGTAATATCCCAGCACATTCTTTGAGTAACTAAGTAACATGGCGAAAATTATGGTTTACTCATATGTGATTCGTGTTGTTTGGTAGATAGGTACGAATGTCTTGGTGGAACCTGTTGGCTCCACTGCAAGACTTGAAAAGACGCCTCTACAGTCCCAGAAGTTTGAGGTGACGCCCTCAGAAACTTTGGCACCCATTTACAAAATTACGCGGCGTCACATCCAAGGAGATCATTATCTTGATACGCGAGAAAATAAACCACGCACTTTCCAAACTGTTCCTGTTTAATTACATATTGGCTGATAAGGAATGTGTATGATTTATATTCATGAGACTCACTCAAGCAGCAGAACCCTTCTTGAGAAGCCGCCAATTGTGCAGCTCCTCAAGAATTTCCCAGCATTTTATGGAGCCCGAAGGTTCATTACCATGTTCACAAGACCCTCCACTGGTCCCTATCCTGAGCCAGATCAATCCAATCCGTATCATCCCAGTCTGTCTCTTTAAGATCCATTTCAATATTGACCAACCACTTATGCCTTGATCTTCCCAGTGGTCTCTTTCCTTCTGGGTTTCCCACCAATATCCTATGTGTGTTCCTCTTCTCCCCCCTTCATGCTACATGCCCTGTCCATCTCATCCGCTTTGACTTGATCATTCTAATTATACTTGGAGAAGATTACAAGTTCTGAAGCTCCTCATTATGCAGATATCTCCAACCTCCTGTCACTTCATCTCTTCAATCCAAATATTCTCCTCAAAACACTGTTCTCAAACACCCTCAGTCAATGTTCCTCCCTTAATGTCAGAGACCAAGTTTCACACCCAAACAGAACCACAGGCAAAATTATAGTTTCATATATTCTAATGTTTATGTTTTTGGACAACAGACGAGAATACAAAAGGTTCTGGACTGAATGGTAGCAAGCATTACCCGAGTTCAATATCCTCTTAATTTCCTCCTGAATCAGGTTTTGGTTTGTTATCGTTGTTCCCAAATATCTGAATTGTGCCAAATTTTCAAAACATCTGTCACATATCTTCATGTCATGATTTTGCCCTGCATTTTGGTGATGAGACAGCAACATATATTTAGTTTTTTCTGTGTTTACTTCCAGACCAACCTCCTCAGTTGTGCACAATTAAAGTTTTTTGTTTTCCTTTATGGTATCTGTATTATCACCCAGTAGATTTACATCATCAGCACAGACCAACAGCTGATGTGTCCCATTTAATTTCAGTCCCACCTGGTTTTCCTGAACCTTCCTAATGGCATATTCTAAAGCAAAGTTGAAAAGGAGTGGCAATAAAGCATCTTCTTGTTTTAGACCATTCTGGATAGGAAAATTATCAGACAAATGTTTACCTATACGGACTTTACTATACGTCTCATTTAAATAAATTATAATCAGCCTAACTAGTTTTATGGGTATCCCTAACTCTATCAGAATATTGTACAATACTTCCCTCCTAACTGAATCATAGGCTTTCTTGAAATCTACAAATAGGCGATGTACTGTCTCATTATACTCCCTTTTTTTCTGCAGTATTTAACAAATGCAAAAGATCTGATAAGTAGTTGATCTGTTACGTTGAAACCCACACTGATGATTCCCAATAATTTCATCTCTGTATGGACTTAATCATGAGAGAAGAATATTGGATAAAATTTTGTATGAAGTTGATAGCAGTGATATCCCTCGATAAGTACTACAGTCAGTTTTATCACCCTTCTTGTGAACTGGTATAATAATAGACTCCTTCCAGTGATCAGGCAATTTTTCCTGATGCCAAATAGAATTAATTAGCTTATGGATCTTAGAACGTAATATTTTGCCTCCAGCTTGAAGAAGTTCTGAGAAATTGATCACTATCTGGCAATTCATACCTTTTCAATTTTGAAATAGCACTTTCAAACTCAAATGGGCTAGGATCAGGTACTAACGGCACAGCTGTTTGTATTTCTATCAGCCTAACATCACTGACCCTATGTATATTCAATAACTGAGAGAAATAGTTCTTCCACCAATTCAAAATGTTGTGGGAATCTGCAAGCAGATCACCATTCTCATCCTTCACTAAGTTACTTCTAGGTTGGTAACCCCTCTTAAAGTCATGTATTCCTCTATACAGGTCTCTAATGTTCTTGTTCTTACTGTTCATTGCAAGCTCATCAATTTTGTCTTTCAGATATTCCCTTTTTATTCCTGAAATGCCTGCTGGTTTCACATCTTATATTGTTCAGATTATCCCCATTTATTTCGCTTGGATCTTGTGACCATTGCAATTTGGCTTGTTGTCTTTGGTCTAATAATTTTGAACATCCTTCACTGAACCATGGCTTATTCTTCTTCAGTTCATAATAACCTAGATTCTCTTTGGCAGAAATTTTGTTATTCTCCCTAACAGTTTCCCAGGCTTTACTAACATCCACATCAGTGTCTTAAGTTTTGCAAAGCCACAAACCAATTTATGATTTCAACATGATACTGCTCTTTGCCCTCTACCTCATTTAATTTTTTGAGATTGGACCTCTCCATATTAACTCTGTGCTTTGTTTGTTTGCTCACTGCCAGTCTTTCCCTAAACTTTGCCACCACCAGGTAGTGGTCAGTATCACAATCTTCTGCCCTGAATGATCGGACATCAGCTATACCTGAATACCTTCTATCTATCAAAATATGGTCAATTTGATTGTGTATCTTCCCATCAGGAGATATTTATGGATATTTATGGATGTTACGATGTGGGAACATTGTACTTTTGACAGTAAGATTTTTCAGTGTGGCAAAGTTTACTACTCTAATGCCATTATCATTACAAATTTGATGCAAACTCTCATTCCCAATCGTTGGTTTGAAAATGTCTTCTCTGCCTACTTTGGCATTGAAATCTCCTAACAAAATTTTCATGTGGTACTTCGGGAATTTCTCAAATGCATGTTCTAGTTCTTCATAGAACCAGCCCTTTGTATGATCAATTTTATCTTCTGTTGGTGCTTGAACATTCAGAAACCTTTTAGTATTATATGTGACATGGATATATTATAATATTTGATTATCATTATCTCCAATACAAGACGTTGCATGAAGATCGAATTATCACCAATTTTTGTTCATCAAAGACTATTAGGTTTTAAACCTTTTCGAATTAGTGTACTACGTCCTTTTTAATAAATCATGTTAATTGAGTTCCTTCTCGTGTCATGGCTCGTCCTCAGATGGCGGATGGAGGAGACAGCCTTCAGATGGGATGCAAATATATTGAATAAGTAATTGTGGACTTCTGGCATGGAGTGGTGTAGCTTAGGGTTGGCAGGGGCTAGCAACCCCTTATCGTAAAATAAGCTAGCACGTTACGAATTTCATACAAGAGAATTGAATGTGAACGGATAGTTTGAAACAACGAAAGCAATAAGGGTCCAGTGGTGGGCTCTTGTGAACACAGTAATGAACCTTTGGGCTCCTTAAAAGTCGGGAATTTTATTGACCAGCCGAACGACTGTCAGCTTCTAAAACAGAGTCTATTGTTAGGGGTATGTGAAAGTTTCTCTTTGAGTAAGATGCTTCACTATATCTGTATTAGGTTTAATGTCCGAATGTATCCATCATTAGGCCAAAAACTGCAGTTTACCATGATCTGCTTTCGAAATGTTCTTGTACTTATACGAATTAGACCTTTGGCTTCAGAGTTAACTCTCAGATAATGAATCTTAAACAGAAAGTAGGGTTCCTAAGATGTTTCGTCTATTACTAGGCCTTTACCAGCACAGAACATGACAAACAGAACTCGTATAAAAGTCCATGCTCCGGATTGGGTTCGAACTTGCGATGTAGTATGCGGGAGGCAAAAGTACCGCAAAAGAACTATAGCGACCGAGCGACCGCCACTTGTCGGCGAAGTTAGTACAAACTTTAGCGGATATACGAGTAGGGTGTCGCAAAGAATCACCACGGCTGTTAATCTCGGTTATCTAGACCGGAGCCGCTATTCCCTTGAAATAGCTCCTCAATTGTCCTCATGAGGCTAAGTTCTAGGCCCAGCACTTATCAGAAAATCTGGTAGTGCCGGGAATCGAACCCGGGACCTCTGGATCTGTAGCTAGGAACTCTGACCACTAGACCACAGAGGCGGTGACCCGTATAGGCAGGCCAGTTTAATTATTAGTGTAACGCTGACAACATCGACATATGTCACTGGTGATAAGGTCCCTGTCAGTGATCTACAGTGATACAAATAATACGTTTTGCCGGGCTGACAACCCAGAAATTATGCACAGTTTTGATCGTCAGGAGCGTGCCTAATTGTCTGCGGTATTACGCTTGCCCCACCCTGGAGAAGGGATTGTGACGTATACCTTATTGGGGCGTGCCTGTCATAACTAACAATGCTTACTAGATCCCTTCCTGCCTTAGATCGAGACACCCAGTGCGATGGACGTCGCCATGCAAATTCACCGGAAGATGACGAGAACAAAAAGTGTCATCTGGACTAGATTAGCTCCAAGAACATCCTGTCTCGTTAGAGTCTAGTGCGTTCTTTGCACAAAACGGGCAAGGTGAGTGTATAATGGAGAGTCAAGTCATTTAATGGATTTCTGTTCAATTTCATATCACGAGTCTATACTAAATTTTGTTGGGAGAATTTATATTTTATTATCTGTGGTCTAGTGGTCAGAGTTCCTTGCTACAGATCCAGAGGTCCCGGGTTCGATTCCTGGCGCTACCAGATTTTTCTGAGAAGTGTGTC